TCCAGGCATGGTGGCACATACCTGTAATCCCAGCGACTCAGGAGGCTAAGTCAGGAGGTTCACAAGTTTCAGTCAGCCTCAGCAACTTAATAAGAACCTGTCTCAAAATAAAAAACAAAAAGGGCTGGGAATGTAGTTCAGTGGTAAAATATCCTGGGTCAAATCCCTAGTACTAAGAAAAAAAATTCTGTATTGAATATATACAGATTTTTTTCCTTATCATTGTTCCCCCACCAAATATTTTGTAACAATTATTTGCATAGCATTTACATTGTATGTAAGTATAAGTATTATAAGTACTTATAGTTAAAGTACTGTAAGTAATTATAAGTTTTATAAGTACTTATAATTAAAGTATAAGTACTTACAATTAAAGTATTATAAGTACTCTAGGAAGATTTAAAATATAAAGGAGGATGTGCACAGGTTACATGCAAACACTACAGCATTTTACATAAGGTACTCAAGCATCCTCTGATTTTGGTATCCATGGGAGGTTCTGGAACCAATCCCCCAGAGATATGGAGGGCTAAGGGTCAATTGTATGAATTTCATCTTAAATTTGCTACTCTCAGGATTCTATAGTGGTTACTAGAAGTCCCTGAGGGCTACATACTTCCTTGATCAAGAAGCGGGAGGGGTGCTGGGGTCGTGGCTCAGTGGTAGAGCACTTGCCTAGCATGTGCAAGGCACTGGGTTCAATCCTCAGCGCCACCTTAAAAAAATAAGTAAAATAAAGTTAATACAACTAAAAAATATTAAGAAGAACAAGAAGAAGGGTAGCGGGCAGTGCCCGCCTTGTTCACAGAAGTCCTGAGCTTCCCTCAGACTGGGTCAGTCACATGTTCACTGATGCCTGAGGGAGATGGTTCTGGAAAAGAGGATGGTTTCACCTCCTTTACATGCTCAGATTCTCCAAGTCAGGTTCCCTGGATGCACACAAATAGAAAGGGAGTGTACAGAGAGTGTTCCTGTGTCCCCTACCCCCCACGATTACTTACCACGCCTTTCTTTCAAGWCACCACCTGGTGAAGATATTTCTGTGATGACTTCGTAAACTTGACTGGATCAGAATATGCTTTGCATTTTAAAAGATGGACAAATCTAAGAGATTGTTGCTACGACTAGAGATAAGCAGTTCCCACCAATACCAGGATCCCCCTCACCCACTGCATTCTAGCCACACTGGCATTTTGTTCTTTCCTTGAAATGCGCCACATTGCCATTTGCCCACTATGCATTTCCCTCAGTTTTGAACTCTCTAGCTCCAGATCTTTCTTTTCCTTTCTTTTTTAAATTTATTATTATTATTAGTTGTTTATGGACATTTATTTAATTTTATATGGTGCTGAGAATCAAACCCAGGGCCTCACACATGCTAGGCAAGCGCTCTACCACTGAGCCCCAACCCCAGGGCCCCCCACATCTTTCTTTCCCATCCTTCAGATTTCAGAGAAGCAACTCCTGATCTTCTATTCCTGGTGTCCATATTTTGCTTTTGTTTTTCTTTAAAAACGTATAAAATAGCAATTTTATTGAGGTAAATTTATACATTCCAAGAAATGATCTGGCTCTGAAGCAGGATATTCAATCTGTCTAGACTTTTATATGATCATTTCAAAACCATTATATAAAATAATATTTCAAGTGGCCCTTCATAAAATTATAAATATCAATCACATATAAATTAACTCAAATCTCATATTTAAATTATCAATAAATTAAAAATAATTAAAATAGTGTCCTAACGCTCATACTGTCAGTCCTTCGTCGAGAACAAGATAAGGTAGGTACCCAGTGGACAGGACATGTTTTCTGACCATAGGAAGGAATATCCATGAACCAATAAGCTTAGATGCCCACACTATGCTTTCCGAACAGCTCTCAGGGTGAACTGCAGGAAATCCTCAAAGTTGCTCAAGATGAGTTGCATGGTCATGACCTTCTGACAATCATTCTGTGACTCCAGTTTTGCCAACAGGTTGATATTTGCAGTTGGGCTGGGGAAGACTATTTTATTGGGATCCTTCACCTCTTTTTTCAGGATCTCAATCAGGGCTTTGGAACTGTTCTGCACAAGTTTGGCTCTGTCCCTGTTCCTGCTTTCCTGAAACTTGTTCCGGATGTACTTCCGGTACATCTGAAACTCCAGAAGCCCAGAGGTGATTCACACAAGGCAGTTGTCCCGATTGTATCCAGTTTGGAAGCATCCATCTTTTTCAGTCATCTTTGGAAGGTTCAGATTGTTTTCGGACGCTGCCACATGGCTCTTGATACAGGTCTCATCATTCTTGCACAGCGTTTTTCTATTTTGAAGACTTCCTTGATGAGGTAGGAAATCTGTCCTGCGTTTTTTTTTTTTTTTTTCTGAAGAGGCACGTGTTGGTTTATTTCGAGTGACACCATCCTCTACATCTTCTCTGTGAAGTTCTGAGATGGGGAAGGCAGTCACCACCACTAGGAGCAGCCCCMAGGAGGCAACTAGAAGAAAGGCGCCTGAACCAGAGGGAAGAGAAAGCAGGGCRTGAGCTGACCCATRTTTTGCTTTCTTCACAACATTTATTACTATATGAAACTATTTTGTTTATTTGGTTGCTAATTGCCTCCTCCCCCAACCAAACCTTTCATGTCAGCAAGGACTTTCTGTCTTCTTCACAGATACACTCCCAGCATCTTGGCAAAGACCTTGATGCATATTTGACACAAAATAAATGTGTATCCAAAGAATGAAAGAAATGATTAAATGTATCGTCTCCATCAACTGCTGTGCCACTGTGGGTGGTGAGTTCCTGCTTCCAGGAATTGTCAGATTTTGCAAATTACTGGCTTGCCAAAATACAAATTAGAATATATTCAAGGTTAACCCTCCAACCACAAATCTTTCAGTTTATTCTTGAAAGGAAAAGGGTGGAATTACTCTTAGCTGTTTGGGAGGGAGTGTAAATTGTATGCTGGCTCAATCCAGAGGCTCTCACATTTCAGTGTGCTCCAGAATCATGGCAAGGCCATTCAGTTCAGATTCCTGGRCACCACCTTCAGAGTTTTCAATATGGGAGGTCTACAGTGACTCCAAGAATTTGCATTTTCAAAAAAGGTCCAGGTGCTGCTGCTGTTGCTGACTGGAGTCATGGTTTGAAAGCAGCTGCCACAATCTAAATAGGCAACTCACTTCAAAGTACGAATAATACAGGGGCTGGTGTTAGGTGAGATCCTGGGTTCTATCCCCAGCACTGAAAAAAAAAAAAAAGTTTGCTTAACAGTCATGGCTATTTTGAATTATTGTAATACTTTCTCTGCCATGTTTTAGGCTTTCACTAAAAMCCATGTATATCCATGGAAAGGAACCCTATACATCAAAATATCTGTCTGTCTGCTACAAGAGATCAAAGATTGAAGACCAATTGCTGCCATTCAGGGCCATCTCTATCTTGAAGAACAAGTGTGAAAGTCATTCATCTAAACATGTCTCAAGTCCATCAATTTATTTCCATCTCTACTTTAAAGAGTTACAATTATAGTTATTCATGGTACAATCATTCAAGGCACACAGATTTCATGTCAACAACTGGGATAGCTTCCTAACTGGCTCTCTTGAAGTTTTATCTATATGAAGCCAGACCATTCTTTTAAAGATGTAATCTGATTGTGCCACTTGCTTCTATAAAATCCTCCAGTAGTTTTTTAATCATCCCAGGTAAAAGCCCATTATCTTGAACACTGCTTACTTGACGTGGCCCCTGTCTGCCTTACAGTCTTACATCCTCTCCAAAGCCTCTTTCTTCAGAGGTCAATTTGCGCCATTTTTTCTTAAGAAAGATTTCCCCTTGGTTCCCAGATCTGGTCAATTTCCTCTGTTGCACGACCTTATAGAGCCATGTTCCATTCTTTCAGGGCACACTACCTTTTTTTCTAGGGTCTTTATGTATTCATCATCTACAGGAGAGAAGGAGTAAGACCATTTTTGTTCACCAGGACATTTCTAGTGTCCGAGCACAACAATGTTGACCATGTAGGTACTGGATTAAACATACGTTGGATGGAGTCTTAAAATGTGCATTTCTCAGTTCCAATTATGTACCAAATCAAGAGAGATGTTTGACCTAAAAAACACTCCATGCCAGTTAAAAGCCATTGTGGCAGGGCGCGGTGGCGCTCGCCTGTAATTCCAGAGGCTGGGGAGGCTAAGACAGGAGGACCGCGAGTTCAAAGCCAGCCTCAGCAAAAGTGAGGCGCTGAGCAATTCAGTGAGACCCTATCTCTAAATAAAATACAAAAATAGGGCACGGAATGTGGCTCAGTGGTTGAGTGACCCTGAGTTCAATCCCCAGTACAAAAAAAAAAAAAAAAAGCCATTGCTTAAAGTGAAAGGAACAGCATGCTTTTGAAGTCAAGTGGAGGAGGGAGAGGTCAATTCCAGGTGGGAAGCCTGTTCATTCAACATATATCTTGAATGAAGATCCTGCTCACTCCCACTAGGTACTATGCTGTCTCATAGGCCCCAGGGCGTTGTGTGGGGTAAACAAGGTACAGAATGTGCGCACACAGCTACTGTGATAGAAAAAGGATTTGAACCTAGTCTGCTTTAAAAAAAAATATTTTTAGTTGTAATTACTTTTTTTTTATTATTTATCTTTTTAAGGTGGTGCTGAGGATCGAACCCAGGGCCCCCCACCTCCCAGGCAAGCGCTCCATCACTGAGCCCCAGCCCCCACCCCCTCGTCATGGAAGACGTGGAAATTAAGCCGGGCTTAAAGGAGCTGGCCAAGTGAAAAAAGACGCGCAGCCATTCCTAGCCAACTCTGGGCCGACAAACACGGGCTTAGTTATGAATTTGGTTCCTTCCTTTCTCAACCATTCGCATCTAATTTGGGAAGCGATTCCACGGCAGCATAAAAATGCAGAAGGACGCCAGGGAAACTTCCGGACACCGCGAGGAGAGAAACCGTTTCCACGGAAACAGTAAKGTGTTCCCGACAAGGTGAGATCTCGCGGTGCTTGAGCCAGGGGAAGTGACGTCAGGCCTCTCCGGAGGCCCTCTGGTGGATCGCCGCGGCCCCTCCTCCCCGAGCGGCCGCCTTTTCCCGCGCGAGCTGCCTCTGGTGCTCGGGCCGCCCGCGGGGAAACATGGCGTCCGCCCTGGAACAGTTCGTGAACAGTGTCCGACAACTCTCGGCTCAAGGTGAGGCCTTAGGCCGAGGGGCTGGGCCTGGGTGGGCCTCGGGGGATGGGCCTGCATCCTCAGGCGCCAGCGCGGCCGGTTGGGACCGCCCTCTTAGTCCCAAGCTTCGTCTCGGGGGCCGGACTTGGGGTTGTGGCGCTTAGACCAGAGTGGGATCGAGCGCCGCTGAATGTAAGCAGCCCTCTCGAGTTCTTGAGCCCAGCTGTCTCCTCCTGCCAGACTCACCTCCCTGGGGCCGCCGGAACCTTTCCTCCCCCCCCCGGCCCGGGCCCCTGCCACCGGGCGCTGCGCTTGACAGTTTGGGGGCGTGACTTCCGCCGGGCGCCTTCCCGAATGCCCATTGGCCCATTGGGCTTCCCTTGCTTTCAGTGATTGGCGCAGCGCCTTGTTCGTCTTGTCGCCAGCCGGCCGCCCCCTGGTCTAGGCCGCGGGGAGCGGGCAGAAGGCGAGTCCTTTCTGGGCTCCTTGGCTCCGAGGCTTGCCTTGGCGGATCTCTCAGCAGCCAGCCGGCGCAAGCTGGGGAGCCTCCGCACCTATTTTGGTCCTAAAGAATGCCAAGGGAGCTCTCGCTGATGGGACTCCATTTCTATGGTGTGGAGTTGTTATCTTGATTATTTTGCCCTTGTTTTTCATGCTCTCTGGCTCATGCATCTCATCATCTGAATATGCCGAATACTTGACTCAGGATTAGAGTAGTTAGTAGCTATGAAGGACCCTGTAACTACCCGGTACTTGCATATTCTTCATCTGAAAGATAAAAATATGTCCCTACTTCATAATGATGTTATGGGGTCGAGTGGAGAAGCACCGTGAAAGCACTTGGAACAGTGTTTGTCATGGGGTGCAGTAAATAGAGCTGTAAATTGTAAGTGCTAGAAGCTGTGTGACCTCTGACAAATCACCTTTAATCCCTTGAATCTCTTTTTATCTCCATTTGTGGAAATACAGGGTTGCTGTTTTGCTGCTGTTATAAGGCTTCGATGTTCTGGTTTGCAGTCGTGCTTAGTAAATAATAGTTCTCTTATTTTCGTTATTATTAAAAGAAATTAAGGGGCTGGGGCTCAGTGGTAGAGCGCTTGCCTAGCATGTGTGAGGCACTGGGTTCGATCCTCAGCACCACATAAAAATAAACAAAGGCACTGTGACCATGTACAACTAAAAAAAAAAAAAGAAAGAAAGAAATTAGGTTCACAGGCCGGGCACAGACTTCCATTTTTGTGAATGAGGAAACCAATCTTTCATTTCTGCAACACACTTAGTTTCTACTTCCTGGGATGTGATGTGGTTAGAAGATTGATATTGGAATCCTGTCTCAGTCGCTTGGTGAGACATTTAATTTTTTTTCCGGCCAATTTTCTCATTTACAAAATGGAAGAGGACTGTGAAAAACCAAGGAAGGTCACTTATCTGTAAGCTTTGATAGTTTCTCTGTGCAAGGCAGTGCTTTGGAAAGAGTATGCTAGGCAGAGATAAATATAACTTTTCACTGCCAACAGCTTCTGTGCCTTACATTCATTTTGTAGTAAATGTTTAAGTTTCTGTTCAGCTGCTTTTATTCTGAATTTTCTAACATGGACCTTAAGTGAAAGAAATGTTGTCATTTCCAGTTCTCTTAGATTAGAGGGAGTTTCCCTGGGCGCATCTCTGGTTGGATTCATTTCACATGCACTCTGACGCTTAAACTTACTTTTGACAGGCATAGTGACCCTGCACTAGTTAAATGTCTGATGATTTCATAGTGACCTAGCTTTTATTTTAAGTGTCACCTCAGCTTTGGTTATTTAATTGGAGGAAAACTAATGGACTAAAATGTTGATTTCTGGGTATTTCAAATCATTGTGAATGTATTTAGAGTAGTGGGTGTTTTTATGTTTTATTTTATATATTTATAGCCTCACTATGTTCCTGAGGCTTGTCCTGAACTTGCCATCCTTCTGCCTCAGCCTCCCAAGTTGCTGGGATTACAGGCATATGCCACCACCCCTGGCTGAACAGTAAATTTTTAAAAGGGCAAATTATTATTTTTATTTATTTATTTATTTTAGTTGTAGTTGGACACAATACCTTTTATTTATTTATCGAGCCCAGTGCCTCACACGTACTAGGCAAGTGCTCTCTTTATTGGTGGTGCTGAGGCTTGAACCCAGCTCCTTGCACATGCTAAGTGAGTACTCTACTGCTGAGCCACAATCCCAGCCCCTAAAAGGGCAAATTATTTAACCAGAAGATGCTCTTTCATAACTACCAGTGAGTTCCATAATAAAACGACAGTGAGCTGTATTTTTCCATCTCAACAGATGTTTATTTTTGTTTTCAAGAAAAATTAAATTTGAAAGTATTTTAGTTTAGGAGCCCTAGAAGTTATCAAAGTACCTACCTACAGTCATTTGGATTTAAAGTATTATACTGTTTAAATGTTCTTTTAATAAGGGAAAAAAAAATCACCCACTACTGTACAGAAATAATTGAAGGACGAATCTTGGGGTTAATGCCCATGGAGGGCTGAGATTGTGGCTCAGTGGTAGAGCGCTCCCTAGCACATGCGAGGCCCTGGGTTCGAGCCTCAGCACTACATAAAAATAAAATAAAATAAAGGTATTGTGTCCAACTACAACTAAAAAATAAATATTTTTGAAAAAATGTCCATGGACATATCCCTACCACTACCCCCAAATGTTGCCAGGATGTCTGTCTTCAGGATTACCATCAAAATTGATAGGTTTACTTTAAAGTACCAATTCAGGCCTAATTAGGTTCTGTACCTTAGTTGTTTAAACTTATCATTATGATATAGGAGAAAGAGTGATGATCAGTTAGGAGAGTAACTAATTCAGCAGCTGCTTGTTGATTGGCTACTAAGCAGGCACTGTATTCTGAACTGGAGAAATGAACAGTCCCTCCACCTGAATTTACTTTGAATTGCCTAACCACCATAATCCCATCTGATGGAAAGAGGGCAGAGAGGGCGAATATCCAATGTAGTGTATCCATCCAACTTGGGGGAGGGGGAGGCCCAGAGAAGGCCTGAGTAGTTGAATGTTGAATATGAGTCAGGTAGCAGATACGAAGAGGGTTGGAGAATAGCATGTGCAGAAGCATAAAGATGAGAGGACATGTAATGATGATTTTCTGGGCTTTTGTGACCAAAGAGTAGGTATGTGAGGCAAGGTTGCAAAGGTGGCAGGCACCCATTATTTAAGAAGCTATATAAGCCAAGCTGAGTCATTTGGATTTCTTTTTATTTTTAAATATATTTTTTAGTTGTCAGTAGACCTTTATTTTATTTACTTATATGTGGTGCTAAGAATCAAACCCAGTGTCTCACACGCTGGGTAAGTGCTGTACCACCAAGCTACAGCATATATTTATGTCTGCCTAGCATACTCTTTCCAGTCTTTTGGATTTCTTAATGCCATTGGAGTAATTTAATTGAATTTTCATTTTAGAAAGATCAGACAGTACCAGTATGGAGTACTGGAGAAAGAAAGATCAAAGCAGACATACTCTTTAGAAGATGTATGATGTAATCCAGACGAGAAATCATGAGGATCCAAATTAAGGCAGGGAGAAGAGAGACAAAGGATTGGAACCAAGGAAAGTTTTGGGTACAGAGAGAGAGATGTGGGAGGTGGTGACAGTAATGTGTACATTTCTGGGTTGGGGGACTGGAAAAGGCACTGGAGGAAAGGAGAAACTTACGGAGGCTAGAGAGAAATAGGAGAACTTCTAACTAGTTCTGAGTCACATGCAAGTTGTTTCACTCCTTTGGTCCTTTTGGGTCCTTATCCAAAAGGAGGGAGACACAAGAAATCGTCTTTGGGCACTGTGGGCTCTGAGGTACAAAGTCTGCACTTAGCATTCCTTTAGTTTAGTTGGTGCTGTGATTGAATGCTAGTGTTGTTCCTGTTTTGCAGGGCAAATGACCCAGCTTTGCGAACTGATCAACAAGAGCGGGGAACTCCTTGCGAAGAACTTATCCCATCTGGACACTGTACTAGGGGCTTTGGATGTACAAGAACACTCCTTGGGTGTCCTTGCTGTTTTGTAAGGGACATCTTCTTTTTATAATTTTGTGCTTTTTAAAACTGAACACTGCACTTTCTGGCTCTATTTTATTTATTTTTATTTTCCATTTAGAAAGTAAGTTATGTAAACAGCATTGAGCTCTTTCACAAAGCTAAAATTATTTTACTTATTCCAGCTAATCATTACTTATTATATTTTGTTCAGTTTTATAATTTTTTTGGCTCTCGTTTATGTTTATACATATTATGGAAATTTATTTTAAAAAACAAATGGCCATGCCAATTATAGGCACTATTGTTTGCATTTATCTGAATGCTTCTGTTCATGTAGTCTGTAGAATTGTCCATACTTTCTAACTTGGAAAGAAATAGGAAGAGTGACAGAATGGGTCATGGTGGAATACACTGAATGAAAATATCAATTTTTATTTCTTTTGACTTGGCACAGATCTTCAAACAAGCTTAAGCTATTTAAGACCAAATTAAATAGACCTTATTTCAGCTGGAGTTTCTTGTAACTCTTTAGACCTGATAGTAGAATTCTAGATTGGGATATCATGGTTGTCATGAAAATTTGAAAAAGTAGAAATAACTGGGAAGAAATTGACCTGAAGAGAGGGTTTGGCTCCATCACATTGCTATTCACGGCACAGAAGTATGTGTCAGGAGCAGCATTTAGAACAGAAACCTTGTGAGAACAGAAGGGTCTGGAGCTCTGCTCTGCAATAACAGGCTATTTAAATTAAATTAAAGTTAAATAAAGGGAAAGATTAAGTTTTTCAGTTGCTTTTGCAACAGTTTAGCCATTCTGTAGCCACTGTGTTGGATGTCCAACCATTCTACCCCGGACAGTCTACTAATGAACATTGTACTAGTATAGATGTTCTGGACAAAGCGTTGTCTTATTGACATGAAAGAGCAGATAGCATGCATGTTTTTTTTTTTTTTTTTAAGAGAGAGTGAGAGAGAGGAGAGAGAGAGAGAGAGAGAGAGAGAGAGAGAGAATTTTATTTATTTTTTAGTTCTCGGCGGACACAACATCTTTGTTGGTATGTGGTGCTGAGNCACAACATCTTTGTTGGTATGTGGTGCTGAGGATCGAACCCGGGTCGCACGCATGCCAGGCGAGCGCGCCACCGCTTGAGCCACATCCCCAGCCCAGCATGCATGTTTTATACACACATAAACTCACAAGTATAAAGTGAGATAATATATATGAAAGCATTTTGAAGCTGTTTAGTACCTTACTATTGTATATCAGTTTTTTGTTTTTTTAATTTGTGGTACTGGGGATTGAACCCTGGGCCTTTGCATGTGAGGCAAGCACTCTACTAACTGAACTATATCCCCAGCCCATATATTAGTTATAATGATGCATGTAAAGAACCATGAATTTGTAGCTGATATTCTAGATTTGAGTCTATATTCTTCCAATTATGAAGTGTGGGATCCTGAGCTTTATATTTTTATTTATAAWACAGAAATCACAACTTTACCTATTGTGAACTCCAAATTACATTGTTCCTGGCACTTTTTTTTAGAAAATCTTTTATATATACATTTATACACACATATTAATATTCTTATTAATTATAGATGGACACAGTATCTTTATTTTATTTATTTTTATTTCAAGGTTTTTATTTTTTTGGTTAAAAGTTTGTATTTGGTTCATCTACAAGTACTAGAAAACCTGATATTTGACCTTATTAGGGGAGTGTTTCATTTTGAAATTTTTTCTTTTTTAAGCATATTTTTCGCAACCCCAGTTTGTGCCAGGGTTCTATATCTTGGTTATGCAAAAGAACCCAGCCAGGAGAATCTTGTGGACTCTAGTTCTTAAGTTTTAAAAATACTGTTCCTTATTTTATTTCACAGAATATTAGAGGTAAGATGGACTTCAGGCATAAGTTGCTTCTATACTTACCCTATGAAATATTATGGTAATTACTTTCTTTTTTCTTTATTCTAGGTTTGTGAAGTTTTCTATGCCCAGTGTTCCTGACTTTGAAACATTATTCTCACAGGTTCAGCTTTTCATCAGTACTTGTAATGGAGAGCACATTCGATATGCAACAGACACTTGTAAGCTAACCAATATTTTATCTTCTGTTGAATGTGTTTTGCCTTTTTAGTTATTTATATTTTCAATATTTTATTGTTGTATCTAGTTGCTGGGCTTTGCCATCAGCTAACAAATGCACTTGTGGAAAGAAAACAGGTAAGAAATGCTATTCAAGTATTTATAGCTCTGTTATAATGTATATCTAACTTTCACAGTGAACTAGGTAATATTAAGATACCAGGTTAATACTCAGCATCTTAACACTTAGGTACATGTGGTTACTTGAGAGCTCCCCAAGCTTTTGCTGTAAGGACAGCAGTCACTATGTGTGGAGAATGAGCCAGAGGTGCAGGAAATGTGTTTCTTCAAGGGAAGCAACTAGTTGGTCGTCCTTGTTTTCACAACCACCAATCTGGACTGGTGTTGTKGTTTGTTGGCAGAGCCTGCCCAGCATGTGTCAGGCCCAGGGTTCAAGCCCCAGAACCACAAAAGAAAAGACCAATCTAGTGCATTTATGTTGTAATATGCTATTTTTTGTTTGTTATATTTTTTCTTTTAACTTTCAATTATAATTTTTGCCACACAGAAAGCTATTAATACCCAAAGAATTCTCATGTACTTTTCATCCAGCTCCTCCAAATATTAATATTTTACTATACTTGCATTTTCCGTTATTCCCTCTATTTTTCTGAACCATTGGGAAGTAAATTGCAGATTTACTGTTACTTCTGTTACTCATAATTACTTCAGTGGTGCTTCCTAAAAAATTAGGTCATTCTCTTATAGACCATGATAAAATGATCAGTATCTGGAAATGGATGTTTATAATGTTCTCACAATCCACGGACCCTCTTCAGATGTGGTCAACTCTTCAGCCAATGCCCTTTATATATATAACAACCTATGGGTTGTTGTGTTTTTTTTTTTTTTTTTTTTTTTTTTATCTCTTTAGTCTCCTTTAGCCTGGAACAGTTCTTTGATCTTTACCTTTTATGGTATTGACACAAGTTAGAATTTGGGCGTTTCTTTTTTATTTGAAAGTTAACTTTTAAGATTAATGGCTTAGAGGAAGCTGAATACAGAAAGAACTAGTTCTGTAGGAGTACCAAATAACTGTTTGAAAGAGATGGTTTAAAAAAGTCACCAAGGCTTTATTGAAAAAGCCATATAAATTATTTAGATATTTTATAATATCATCTGTGTAGAAACTGATTGATTGTACCTCACTTAAAACTTGGTCTTCTTGGGGCTGGGGCTATGGCTCAGTGGTAGCGCCCGTGCCTGGTATGTGTGAGGCATTGAGTTAAATTCTCAGCACCACATATTAAAAAAATAAAGATCAGCAACTAAAAAATATGAAAAAAAAATAACCCTTTAAAAAAATATCTTGGTCTTCTTATATACAATGAGGGCAAGAAACAGTCCATTTGTTACCTTGTGATATTAGTTTCCTCTGCACAATCCAAAGTTCCTTCATTCTTCCCTACTCCCCCCTCCCCCGCCCTGCCCAACACACAGACTGTGGATCAGTATCTGCTTATCAGAGAAAACATTTGGCCTTTGGTTTTTTGGGGATTGGCTTATTTCACTTAGCATGATATTCGCTAGTTCCATCCATTTACCTACAGATGTCATAATTCTTTAAGGCTGAGTAATATTGCATGGTGTATATGTACCACATTTTCTTTATCCATTTGTCTGTTGAAGAGCATCTAGATTGGATCCATAGTTTAGCTATTGTGTCACATCAGTGTGTGCTGATTTTAAGTCCTTTGTGTATAAAACGAGGAATGGGATAGCTGAGTCAAATGGTGATTCCATTACATCTTTTCTGAGGAATTTCCACACTGTTTTCCATAGAGGTTGTACCAGTTTGCAGTTCCACCAGCAATGTATGACTGTACCGTTTCCCCCACATCCTCGCCAACACTTATTATTGCTTGTATTCATATAATACAAGCCATTCTGAGTGGAGTGAGACACAAATACATTTCTAAGCTTAGATGCTCATCTGTTATAAATGATTTGGAAATTTTTTGTTTGGTTAGTTGTTGTAAAGATAATCAACTATTAAGAAAGTAACTTTGTTTTTTATTATTGCTATTCACTGGAGATGGGGGAAGCTTTTGACTTAAAGGTGGTGCTGAATTGTCAAAGTATTCTAAGAAATAGCTTCAGAAAATGTTTTCTGGCTGAATAGGGACAGACATTTCCTGACAGAGTATGGAAACCTCATATTGCTATTTAAAGGAACCTATCAATTAGTGTTATTTTTTATTTGTAAGTGACAACATAAGATCCATTGTGCTGCCATCTTTGAGAACTTATCTGAAAGAGATGTCATTTCTGACAGCCCCTGCGAGGAATTGGCATCCTTAAACAAGCCATAGACAAGATGCAGATGAATACAAACCAGCTGACCTCAATACACGCTGATCTCTGCCAGGTAAGCAGCTAGAAAGAGTGACTCACACTAAGTCAGTGCTATGAGTCTGCATGGGTTTGCTCAACTTGGAGTAGAAGGTCATTTGATGGAGATTGTGTTCTGCTGTAGAAGTTTAAATGTAGTCATGGAGCTTAGCTAGTAAGTTTGTAGGTCAGATAGGGTAGTCAGTGGTTGTAATATTTATTTATTCATACATTCATTCATTTTGTAGTCTGTTTAGAGATAGGGTTTCACTGAATTGCTTAGCACCTCGCTTTTGCTGAGGCTGGCTTTGAACTCATGATCCTCCTGCCTCAGCCTCCCAAACCCTGGGATTACAGGCATGCACCACCATACCTGGTGGTTGTAATATTTAAATACAAAAAAAGGAAAATTTGTGTATATATATACACACACATATATATATATAAAATAAGAATTTTTTGTGATTGAGATATAGTATATAATAAAGCACAAATTTTGTGTACAAAGTCAGGCATGGGGGCACTTCCTTGTAATCCCAACTACTTGGAAAGCTGAAGTAGGATTCCAGGCTTGAGGCTAGTCTAGATATCTTAGTGAGACTCTGCTTTAAAAAAATAAAAAGGGCTGGGATGTAGATCCATGGTAGCACTTGACTAGCATGCCCGAGGCCCTTTGTTTAATTCTCAGTATTGGGGAAAAAAAAAGTAGTGTACAGCTCAATGCGTGTACAGATGTCTATACCATGCCCCCATTGTCTAGATACAGAACTTTCCTATGTGCTTGCTTTCTTTTTTTTTTCTTTTAGTTATATTGGACACAATACCTTTATTTTATTTATTTGTTTATGTGGTGTTAAGGATCAAACCCAGCACCTCACACGTGTTAATAAGCGAGCGCTCTACCACTGAGCCACAACCCCAGCCCCATTTTCTTGCTTTCTTGACCTGCACAATTTCCTATACTTTCCTAAAGGATTAATTGAAAAAAAGACTTTGATTTTTGTGTTTTTATGATCTGTTTTACTAGTTCAGTGAATTTAACAAGGACACACTTGTTTGCCCATCTGTAAACAGATGGGTGGTAGGTGGGTTAAAGGATAATGGAGCTGTATATGGAGTTCTCAATCATTTTATCTATGGCATGCCCTACTGGTTATTTTTTTAATATGAAGAAATGTTACTTTTTTCTGAATGGTTAGGAAAATGGAATAATGTGATATATAACATTTTCTTGAAATTTATGAAATCTGTAAATTTCCTCTTGCTATAGCCTGCCAAAGTAAAGTTAAAATGATGATTTAATATAAATTTTTTCACAGCTTTGTTTGCTGGCAAAGTGCTTTAAACCTGCCCTTCCATATCTTGACGTGGACATGATGGATATCTGTAAAGAGAATGGAGCCTATGATGCCAAACACTTTTTATGTTACTATTATTATGGAGGGATGATCTATACTGGGCTGAAGAACTTTGAAAGAGCACTGTACTTTTATGAACAGGTAATCATCTCTCCTTGTCCCTGAGGTGGTTTTGAACTTGGGTGATTAAAGAAGTACCTGCTTTGTTTTCTAAAATGAGTGGGTTGGTGGTTGGGCCTCAGAGTTTCAGGGGGAGGTCCTTTCAAAGACTGTTCCTCTGGGTATGTAAACAGTGGTGACTTGCCCAAGCGTAAGATGAAGAGCTGTGGCAGTGTAGAAGAAACACTAATCTAGGCTTTAACACTTAGAATCTGTCAGATTTGGGGCAAGTAATAGTATATCTTACATTTAAAGCTTCCTTTACTTAGAGGAAAGAAATTAAAATGTCTTCTTGTCTAAAAACATATGTGGTATTTTGTTGTTTCTTGTCATGGTTCAAAATTCAAAGAGCATTAAGGAGTACATGGTGAAAAGTCCTTTCCACCCTTATATGTGTCTGTGTAATGGCCACTGGTCTGTGCCATTGAGACAATACAAAGCCTGGTAGAATATTTTGGAGGTTTACTCAAGGACTGATAAAGATACACAATATTGATTAATACCAGTGTTCTAAGATAAATTAGATATTTGTAAGTATCTATTTAATGCATAGCATGTATTAAGAACAGTTTAAGCCTTCAAAGAGCTCAGTTTAGTTGGAATGATGGCTTGTAATGCACGCGTGTACATGTCCGGGTCTCTAGACAGTGCTGTAGGGAGTTGTTAATGAGCCCTGCTGAAGGAGCCTGAGGAGAGTCACCATGAGATGTGGCAGTCAGGAACATGTTACTAAAGGATACATCTAGTTGGGTTAAATAATTGTGGTATGTTCATTTTAAGGCTAAAAATTTTAAAAATGGCAAAAACATACTTCAGGACTAGGGATGTGGCTCAATGGAAGAGTGCTTACCTAGCATATATGAAGCCCTGAGTTCCATCCCCAATACTACAAAAACAAAAAAACAAACATACTTCATAGTCATTGGATGCATTTTTATATTACTGTCCCAGATAGTACCTCGCAAGCAGACATGAATGTCAAGATAATGTAAGCTTTAAAAAGACAGGAATGCGTGCAATGCACTAAGAAAATATTTGTGTCTCAGATAGCTAAAACGGCCCGGTGTGGTGGCATATACCTGTAATCCCAGTGACTCCGGAGGCTGAGGCAGGAGGATTGTGAGTTCAAAGCTAGCCTCAGCAAAAGCGAGGTGCTAAGCGACTCAGACCTGTCTCTAAATAAAATACAAGACAGGGCTGGGGATATGATTCAGTAGTTGAGTGGGGCCTGCATTCAATCCCTGGTACCTCAATAAATAAATAAAATGATCAAATAGATAAAATGGTTTTAAAATTTTGATGCATATACATATAACCCTTTTACCTAAAAATATACTTACTCCCTGATTTTGACCTAATGACAATCATTGTCTAGTGTTAGAATTCTTTATGCAACCCTGTTTTAATGATATGCATATAGCCATAGATGGTATTTCAGAAAGTTATAAAGATTTTTTTTATATTTTTAAGAAATTCCAAAAGAAGAATTATTTTTCAAAAAATTCAGATCATTTAGCATCATACAAAGCAAAAAGTAGAGTTATTTCCTTTCCTAATATAGCACCTTTGACTGACTAGCTTACTTGTCCTGACCAATGTAAATCTAAGTGGAGTCTAATATCTTACAACTAAAACAGTATTGCCGTAGGAATTGTTGTATGTGTCTTCATGCACTGAAATGAGTGTTTCTGAGAGGACTTTACAGTCTGGCTCAGAGGTGCCAGTTTTGATTTGGAAGATTGGGGCTGATTTGTTTGTGATAGTTGTCAAGCTTATTAGCCTTCATAAAACCAACTGAAATGAAAAGGCAGCCATAGATTGGGACAAACCTTTGCAAATCACTTTTTTAAAAAAAATTTTTTAGTTGTAGTTGGACACAGTATCTTTATTTTATTTTTATGTGGTGCTGAGGATCGAACCTAGGGCCTTAGATGTGCTAGGCGAGCGCTCTACTGCTGAGCCACAACCCCAGCCCTGCAAATCACATTTCTGATAAAGGTTTTACATCCAGAGTATCCAAAGACCTTGCAACTCAAAATTAAAAGACTAAAATTTAAAAGGACGTTGATTTTTTTTTTTTTTTTTTTTTTGGTACTGGGGATTGAACTTGGGGACAGGGGCACTTTATTTACCACTGGGTTTTATCCCCAGCCCTTTTTATTTTTTTATTTTGAGACATGGTCTCACTAGGTTGCTTAGGACCTCATTGAGTTGCTGAGGCTGACCTTAAACTTGAAATCCTCTTGCCTCAGCATCCCGAGTCACTGGGATTACAGGTGTGCATTACTGCACTTGCTGGACAATGAATTTCAATAGACATTTCAATACACAAATGGCCAATAAGCTCATGAAAAGATGCTCATTGTCATTAGTAAGGAAGGAAATGCAGATTCAAACTAGTTTTGATACTAGTTCATACCACTAGGATGGCTAATATTTAAAAGGCAGCCAATAACAAGTGTTGACAGGAGGTGGAAAATCCTGAACCCTCATAACTGCTGAAAGGACTGCAGAGTATGCAGTTACTTTTGGAGTGCTTTGCATACCTTGTGTGAAGCCCTGAGTTCCATCTCTTCAGCACCACAAAAAAGTTAAAAACGTTAAACATAGTTAATCATGTGACCCAGCAATTTCACTCCTAAGAATATATCCAAGAGAAAAGAAGACATGTACACACAAAACACGCCCACTGATAGTCATAGCAGCATTGTTCATTCCAAAAGGTTGGAAACAACCCAAAAGCTCATCAACTGAGGAAAGGCGTACTGAGTGTACTGCGTATCTACAAAGTAGAATGTTATTCAACTATGGTATAAAGTACTTACAGTGCTAGAAGATGGATGAACTTTGAAATGTGAAAACATTGTTAAGCCAGTCACAATAGACCATATACTGTATTATGCCATTTATCTGAGTGTCCAGAATAGGCAAATCTATAGAGACAGAAAGAAGAGTAGTGTTTGCCTGGGTTTGTGGGGAGGAGAGAATGGGAAATGACTGCTAATGAGTATGAGGGTTCATTTTGAGGTGGTAAAAGTATTCTGAAATTAGGTACTGGTGATAATTTTGCAACAATGAATATGAGTGCTAACTCATGGTATGCATAACTCATGCATACCATGAGTTAGCACTTTACAGGGGTAAAATTTATACTATGCGAATTATACCTCAAGAAAACTTTTATGAAAAGCAATAATAGGCCAGATGCCGTGGCGCATGCCTGTAATTCCAGTGATGTAGGAGGCTGAGGCAGTAGATCGAGATTTCAAAGTCAGCCTCAGCAACTCAGTAAGACTCTGTCTCTAAATTTAAAAAATATAAAAATTGGGCTAGGGATGTGGCTCAGTGTTTAAGTGCCCCGGGGTTTAATCTCCAGTAAAAAAAAAAAAAAAGCATTAATAGGACATTTAATATAAGTCTTGTTTTAAAAGTGATAAATGTAGTGAGGTGCTATTTACCACTGTGGTGTGCTCTCTTTTCATGTTTTTCTCTTGCTCAGGCTATAACTACTCCTGCCATGGCAGTCAGTCATATCATGTTGGAATCATATAAAAAATATATTCTAGTGTCTTTGATATTACTCGGCAAAGTACAGCAGCTACCGAAATACACGTCTCAGATTGTGGGTAGATTCATTAAGGTGAGTTTTTAAAATAAAACATTTTCTTATGTGACATGTTTATAAGTACATAAAGAATTAGTAGGGATACAGTTCCGAGATTTTTATAGTGATCTAACTCTCCTAGCAGCTTCAGATTAGCAGATATTTATTAAGTGTCCGTGGGAGCCCAGGAGCTCAATTCAGTCAGAATCACTGTTTGAATGCTTATACACAGTGTGCCTGGTTAGCTTAGAATGTTTCTCAGAAACCTGTTCCCAAACCTTCACTCTGGCTGCTTATGGCTATATTGTTTTGCTAGTTCCATTTCTTTATTCCATTTTGACCATAATATTGAACAGGCAGTACTGATCTGATTGAACTTCCACCTGCTCACGTGTTTGTATATCTTACCAGAGCCCCTAGATGAAGGTTATAAGCTCTGCCCACTGCACTCTTGTTGTGGTTTTCTGTGATAACCCGCTTTAGGACAATGTTTAAAAAAAAAGACCATTGGTTTTTGTTTAAATGCATTTTTTTTTAATTGAGCAGTTCCAAAGGGTTATGAGATTACAGTCCTCATATAGAACTCAAAATTTTAAGGAAGTCAATCTGAAAATCTTCCTGCTGAGATTTTCTTGCTGGTTTATTGAAGATAGCCAGCAAAATGTCCTTTGCCTAAGAGCCCTGTTGAGGTTCTCAGGGCTCTAGCTGCCTGGTTATAGGCAAGAGAGTAGGAGGGAGTGGCTGAAGGTGCTCCCTGGACTCCCACAGAAGAATGATATGCAAGATAGGTCGATGACAGCCCTGCTCAGATCACTGTGAGAAACTCTGAGGAGGCCTGTTTTAGAAGAAATGCCCTTATAAAATGACGTCTTCATGGCTCAAGGGTATCAGTCACAAGAATTAAAAACTTACTGCTGATGATATCATGAATGGTGAAAAATGCAGACTTCAGATCAGAGAGGTGGGTTTGAATCCAGCTTTCTTCCTGTCAAGTAAGTGTTCTTCAGGACCATTCCACATTCTCTGGACGTCTGCTCCAGCTTCTTAATAGGAGTAGCAGATTGTCCCATTGTACATGGTGGTGTGTGTGCAGAGAGGGCTGGGAATGATGGCATTTTTGCCTTCTTTCTTCCCAGCATAGATTATCCATAGGAAGAAACAGTGAAGAAATAAAGATGTGTATCTTCACTAAATTCTGTGGGCTTTCTCCTGCTTTGCAGTTACTTGCTCTGTGCTATGAAGTGTTATTAATAAATTACTTCACAGTGAATTTCTATCCTTGGTCTTAAACAGGCATTTGCTTTGGATAAATTGTAGTTTATTAGGAATAATGTGGAGTATATTTGCTCAAAACATGGTGCCATAGGTTGGTTAGTTTGTTTTTTGCCTCCTATAAAACTTTTAAGTTCTCTAAAGCTTTAATCTGATTTTTTTCCCCTACCTTCAAACCTTTAGCCTCTTAGTAATGCATACCATGAGTTAGCACAAGTTTATTCAACTAATAACCCTTCAGAACTCCGAAACCTGGTGAACAAGCACAGTGAAACTTTCACCCGCGATAACAACATGGGACTGGTGAAGCAATGTTTATCTTCTCTCTATAAGAAGAACATTCAGAGGCTAACAAAGGTGAGGCGAGCATCTCCCTTGGAATCTATCTCCTGACTCCCCAGGGCCTTGTTCTCTTTTTCTTTTCAGCACTGAGGAAGCAGATTCAGGGATAAAGTATGACAGGATATCTATACTAAAAGAGATCTCTGTTGTGACTGGGTTCTTAGAGTTTGATTGATACCTTTTGGTCTTTTCAGGGCTAGAGCAGGGTATTTGAGAAGAGGAGCAGGTGAAGAGGAAGAAAGGTAGGCGATATGGCTACATTGGGAGGCAGAGAAAGTAGCCTTGGTGGGGTCGCCAGTTCCAGATTGGCAGATTGTGGGGTGCTAGTGATGGCTAGCCTTGGAACCTCTCAGGCCAGCCTGATCTGTGCTGAACTTTTATGTTTACATAGTGCAACTGTGACATTACCATGTAGTCCAGAGTTGAGTGAGCCGTGTATGTGTAGTTGAATTCTAGAATTTAAGGAAATTATATAATTTTTATTTTTGAGATGAAAATTACCATATGGTTCATAATAATAAAAATTATGCACTGTGCACAGAGGTATATGCCTGTAATCCCTGCTACTTGGAAGGATCACTTGAGCCCAGAAGTCCAAGCCAACCTGGGCAACATAGTGAGACTTGTCTCAAAAAGAAAAGAAAATAAGCTTATTATTAAGGGTTCAAGCAATACATAAAGGTATAAAATAAAATCCTCTGTGTTAAAAAGGCATGTGCAGCATATAATAAGAATCCCACTAAGATTAGCTTAAGCAGATAGCATGTTGCTTTTTTTCTGGTGAAGGGTCTGTTCAGGACTGCATCAGATCACAGCTGGTGAGAACATGGTGACCCTGTTCTTGTGCCCTTCCCTCATGGAGTTAGCAGTGGTCATAGTGGGGAGGAAGCACAGGAGCTGTTTGTTGCCAGGATGCCCTGCAGTGGGAAAGGATGATGGATTTGCTTATGTGAGGACCTGAGGAAGGTGACTTACTCCAAAAAGTTAGTGAAGAAGAGTGGCACTGTTGGGTAGTAGTGGAGGTGGGCAGGCTACGCAAGGACAAAGCCTCCTGCTGTGAAAAGGAAGGAGTTGGCTAGGTGACCACCGAACAAGAGGAGAAATTTCCTCTGAATATTTTAGAGAAACCATAGCCTCCTGACATACGGAAATCAGCAGAGAATTTGTCAAAAGTTAATTTGTGAGAAGAAAATAAAAAATGTGAAAGAGAAAACAACTTAAAGATAAAAAACCAAAGGTAACCTGTTAGCCAGAGAAAAACCGTTGTAATCCACACAGACTTGAAAAGACTGTCTTAAGAGATGGGATATGCATGCATTGCTGCAGAAATCATCAGTTAGCATCTTGTGAAATTCAATGTTCATCCTTTCAGAATAGTTGGCAGCTTATACTTTGAGAAGTCAGTGTAGTAGAATTCAGTTTTCTGTTCTAGATAGGAAAATCCTTAACCAAATTCAACCAAACAAATAGGAATAATCTCAAGCCGGTCAGTCCAGGGCTGGGGCAGTGGCTTGTGAAGTCCACTGTGTCCTGGGTCTTCGGTGCAGACTCATAGTGGATTGTGGCATGCTGGGCTTGTGAGCACTGCCAGGGGATGTAGTGGGTGTCCACCACAAAACGTGGTAGGCAGGGACAGTGTCCTAATGCAAGGGGTGAATCTCTGGTGGTGCTGCTACACTTTGGGCATCATGTCCATGGCAGAATAATAGAAGGGGAAGCAGCAAAGGATTTTCAGTCACGTATAACTTCCTTCTTACTACAAAATCAGAAAGTCAAAAGCTGAGACATCTCAACAGGTAGACTGTGTGTCACTGTTGGTGATAGAAAATGTGTCTCATGGCACTGCCAGTGAAGGGAAGCTAGGGACAAAAGGTTTATCAAATGGAAGTTTAATCTGCCACTCTGATGCTAAGAGATTGCTCCATGTTAATGTTTCTGTGGATATTTTTCTGGATTCCTATTGCTTCTCCATCACTGTGTGTATGTATAGACACTCTAAGTTATGTGTAGTTGGGATCATACTCTGTGCTGTTTTCTACCCTGTTCTTTCTGTTCAGTATATCACAAACCCTTTTCCATGGTAACCTAAGCGTGTATCACAGTAGTCCATATATAGTAGTTCCTTATGTAARTGGTTCATAATTTATTTAGCCAGTCCCCTGTTGATGGGCATTCATATAGAAGCTGCTATTTATTTTGAAATAGGAAAAAATAATGACTTTATGTATTTTAGAAATATTCACTTTTTGAGTCCTTGTTTGTTTTAAGCTAAATATGTATTTCTTAAAATTAGCAATAATTTCACTTTCTTGTGTGCTGTTTTCCAAATTAAATAGATATTTTTGTCATTGACATATCAAGAGTATTCATGTGGGGTGTGTGGCTCTGACAGAGCACTTGCCTAGCATGTGTGAGGCCCTGGATTCCATCCTCAGCGCTGCCAGAAAAAGTAAAAGTTCGTGATGAGAGTTTTAACATGCCCAGCTCTGAAAATGCCATTGTTATAAATGTTGCCAGCTGCCATTGAAAAAAGGAGCTCTTTTAGTTTCTTCCTGAAAAGGAGCATTTTCATCAGGTCCCAAGCAGAGCAGCAGTAAACAGTGGTGTCCTTCGCTTTTCACCAGTGTGTGGTCCTTCCTCTGTTTGCTTGACTCTTCTGTTTTTTTAATAGTTTTTTTTTTTAATTTTTTTTATATTTATTTTTTAGTTTTCGGTGGACACAACATCTTTGTTTGTATGTGGTGCTGAGGATCTAACCCGGGCTGCACGCATGCCAGGCGAGCGCGCTACCGCTTGAGCCACAACCCCAGCCCTTTTTTAATAGTTTTAGCTTTGAATTTTGGAGGATGAATGTGAGCTTTTCAATTTTATTTTATTTAATAAGTAATACATTGATTATCAAAATTCAGAAGATATGAAGATCTCCATTTTGTTTCTGTACCCTAGACACCCTTACTCTTTCCCCAGAAGTAACCCAGTTTTACCCAGTGAGTCTCTTAGGCATCTTTCTGGAGATGATCTATGTGTGTACATGAAAACACATGCACATACACGTATACAGTCTTTGCCTTTATTTACACAGATGTTGGCATGCCATATACACTGTTGAACATTTTCCTTTTTGCTGTTTAACAATGTGTATATCCCGGATTCCTTTATAGTTCATAAAAGGTGTCGTCACTTTTCTTTTTCACTACTGCATAGTAATCCATTTGTATGGCTGTGCTGTTCTTTATTTAACTTGTCCTCTGTGGACACTGAAGTGTTTTCCTGTATTTGGCTATAGTAAACACCATTACAGTGCACATATATGTGTCTTGACCACATGTTATTTCATGCAAATAGGAAAGTATGCCTAGGATGCATTTCCAAAAGTGAAATTACTAGGTCAGAGTATCTGTGCACTAGTCACCTACGGGGTGCTGCTGACTCGTCTTTTATCAAATTGTACTTCTTTACATTCTTGCCGGCTCACATGGTGGGCCTGGTTCCTCATACCTGTACCAGTGCAGTGATATCAGACTTCAGAGCTTTCTGAGATGAAAATGGAATCTTGGTGTAGTTTTCTTTTAAGTTTTTCTACAGGTAAGTGACTGAGCATTCTTGCACACAACTCTTTCATTTCTTCTTTATTTTGCACAGTCTTTTCTTTTTATGGGCTTTTGAAAGTTTGACCTTTTTCTTACTGTTTGGTAAAAGTGCCATGTGTGTATCTGTACAGCAATGGAAAGAACTGTGTACACATTTGGTAAAATATCTTTCTTCTATGGTTTCTACCTGTGATTGATTCTACTTCTGACTTTCAGACATTTTTAACACTATCATTACAAGATATGGCAAGTCGTGTGCAGTTATCTGGACCTCAGGAGGCAGAAAAATATGTTCTACACATGGTAAGTGTTTTCAGTTTTTAAAAAGTCAATCAGGGGACTTTTGTTGTTATAAAAGTAATGGATGTTCATCATGGAAAAAAAAATTAAAAAGGAGAAAGGGGGAAATACCCAGAGTTAACCACAGTTGACACTCTGGTCTTGGATCTATTTCCTTACAGTTTGTAGGATTTTCCAACCATAGTAGTATTAATCAGCTTTGCTTGAGGCAAGTAACTGTATAAAGAGATAAGGTTTGGGGCTGGGGATATAGCTTAGTTGGTAGAGTGCTTGCTTTGCATTCATAAGGCCCTGGGTTCAATCCCCAGCACTAAAAAAAAAGAGAGAGAGAGAGAGAAAGTTTATTTAGCTCACAGTTTTGGCATTTCAGATCCAAGATCAAAGATCCAGAGAACCTAAGCAGAGAGAAAGAGACCAGGATCCCTCAGTTCTTTTCAGGGGCACAACCTCAAGAACCTCCCACTAGGCTCCACCTGCTAAGGGGTTCTGTCACCTCCCAGTAGCACTGTCCTAGACCAAGGCTTTAATCATGATGGACCCTTGGAGAGCATTCAGAACCATAGTTTTAGTGGCTTGAGTAATGAGCACAATGACTGTGTCCTACTTGTGCTCCTTGTTTGTCATATTTACATATTTTCATTATCAGACTGTAAACCTCATTTAAAATACCCATGAAATATTTAAGATATACAAAGAAGCAAACAGTAGTGTTTCTCTCTGCTGGTCCACAATGAGATCTCAAGTTTGCAACAGTGTGTATGTCAAGACACCACTATAGCATCAAGAAAAGGTGCATAGTGACATTGGTGACTTACATCCTGACTCAAGTCCCTTACCTTGTGGGCCAGTGCTAGTCTGTGACTGCACCTTGAGTACCACTAACATAAAGATGCTAGGACAGACTCTGACACCCTCCCCTTAGCACTTCCCACTTGCATTTCCCCCACTTTCTCCCACCTCAACCACAGAACCACTTCCGGTAGGGATGAATGTCTGTGCTAACTAACATACCAAGTTGGTAATACAGTAACCTACCCATTATATAATTACATAGCTCTGATCTGATTTTGGTTCACTAAATACAAACCTGGGTCGACAGGCCAAATCAGGCAAATCTTTCTATAATCTCTATGATTTCAGGATTAAAAATATTAAAACTACTTTTCCTTGTGGTAACGGGGTATTTTATTTCAGAAGTTCAATTTACAAGTGTTCTAGGGTTGTTGTTTTGTTTTTGTTCTTGTTCAACCTAATTTCTCAAAATGTGCATACACCTCAAACAAAGCAAAGCCTGTCTGATGGCCAGCCTTAGAGTATCTTCTCGGTGCCCCTTTACCGACCCACAGGGTTACACAGGATGAGTGAGCTTATAGCCTGTTTCCCAAAAAAAACCCTCTCTTTGGTGGTAGAAATAGATGCATGATTGTGATACTAGCCAAGAGGCATCAGCTAGTAAAACACTGTGAGGACAGAGGAGGGGCTGGGTTTTGAACACTGCTGGACCATCCTGACAGACTGCATCAGTGCTTCTCTGCCAAGGTTGATTTTATCTGCTGGAGAGATTTGTCCATGTGTGCTGGGGATCAAATCCAGGGCCTTATGCATGCTAGGCAAGTACTCTATCATTGAGCTCCGACTCCAGCCTTGGAGATGTTTTTGGTTGAGTGTGGTTATTACTGGCATCTTGTGGGTGGAGGCCAGGGATGCCGCTAAACACTCTATACTGCAAGGACATCTCCACAGATAACAAAGACTTACTTGAGCAAAATCTCAGTTTTACCAGGCTTGGGAAATTGTACCCTGGGGTCTGTGAGGAGGGCAGGGTTTTTGTTTTTTTTTTAAAAGTAAACATTTCATAGGAATAAAGCACACATAGAGAAAAGTACCCTTAAGTAAATATGTAGCCAAACACATTTCCACAAAGTGAAGATGTCTGTGCCAACAATACAGTGAAGGAGCAGCACATGACCAGCTCCTGGAAATAGCCCTCCTGCCTGCATCCAGCTTTCCCCTGGCTGGAAAGGCCATTGTTGTACTGAGATTTTTTTGCTTTTATTTTTGTGTCATAGATGGAACCTAGGAGCGCTAACCACAGAGCCACATCCCCAGCCCTTTCTTGTATCTTATTTAGAGGCGGGGTCTTGCTAAGTTGCTTAGGGCCTCACTAAGTTGCTGAGGCTGGCTTTGAGTTAGCAATCCTTCTGCCTYGGCCTCCTGAGTCACTGGGATTACTGGAGCGCACCGCTGGGCCTGGCTTAGTGTCCTGATTTCTGAGACCCTATTAGTTATGTTTGTGTGAACTCTTATAAAAGGAAGCATATAGTATGTTATTATGGGGTCTGGCTTTCCTTGTTTTGTTTAGTTTTGCTTAGCACTGAGTCATTCATGATGCCTGTAGTTGTGGTTGGTGTGTTTTCAGCTGAAGCGTTCCACTTTTGGGATATATCTTCCATTGGAATTGGATATTTGGGTAGTTTTCCATTCTGGTTATTGTGAATACATCCACTCTTTAAAGAAGCAGCTTTCCACTGCCACAGGGTTCTCTGCATTCTATTTAATACTGCTATTTCATTATATAGTCTCTGTGCCCTCCAAGGCTAGAAAAGCAGAGGGCCAGTGTAGACAGTTCAGTTTCACCACTAACAGATGAACCAATCATCATGACACCATGGAGCAATTTGTTAGGAATAAAAATATCTGTTAGGAATTTTTGTTTTCTTCTGACTTTTTAACTTCATGGTCAAGATGTAGCTCAATCAAATTCCCAATCACTGATGCAAATAAAGAGCATAGACCTTGAAACTGTCTTTGACTCAAAAATGGTAGAAAAATTTTCCTGAAGAATTAGAAAACAATTTCCACCGGGTGAAACAAAAATGTTAGAGCTTCACTTCTTAACATATAGCAGCGAGCTAGGTGTAGTGATGCACACCTGTAATTCCAGCTATTTGGGAAGATGAGGTGGGGGAATCATAAGTTCAAGGCCAACCTAGGCAACATAGTAAACCCTTCTCTTAAAAAAATAAATAAATAAAATGCAGCAATAATATAAGTTGTATCTTATTTTAAAATGCAAGGGCAAGGAGCTGCAGTTGTAGTTTAGTGGTAGAGCACTTGCCTAGAATGTGTGAGGCGCTGCATTCCAGCCTCAGCACCACATAAAAAAGTTAATTAAAATAAATAAAAGCAAGGTACCTAAAAAAAAAAAAAGGACAGGACTAGGGTTATATCTCAGTGGTAGAGTACTTGTCTGGCATGTGTGAGGCCCAGCACCACAAAAAAAGAAAAAATTGCAAGGGCACTTTGACAGCATTATGCCAAGTGAAGCCAGATAGAAGAGATCACAGAGCACATAATACCAGTTCTAGGAAATGTCCAGGACAGGCAAGTTCACTGATACAGAAAGCAAATTAGTGACCAACAGGGACTGGAAGGGAGAAGGGGATGGGAAGGGCTGCTCATAAGTACAGGATAGCCTTCCAGGATGATACAAATGTTTTAGAACTAGATAGTAGTTGCACATGACATTTTGAATGTACTAAATGCCACTGAATTGTTCATTTAAAAATGATTGAATATGTGCATTTCACCTCAATTCTTTAAAAGTGCAAGGGTGGGATTTTGTATTTGTATATGTTAGTTTTACAACCCTTAGTTTCTGTAATAGTACCTAGCATATAGTAGGGATTCAGTTAACACTTATTAAACAGATGGTACTTTAAATAGATATACAGCCAGGTGTAGTGGCACACACCTATAATCCCAGCTACTTGGGAAGCTGAAGCAGGAGGATTGTAGGTTCAAGGCCAGCCGGGGCAACTTACATCTCAAAAAGTAAGAAAAGAATTATAGAACACATGCAAGTTTGTTTACATATTGCTTTCTGTGCCATGGTTATATTCTATGACTATATATTCATGTAGTGCTGAGGTGTAAACTACTTCCTGATTTCTTTTTCTACAGATAGAAGATGGTGAAATTTTTGCAAGTATTAATCAGAAGGATGGTATGGTCAGTTTCCATGATAATCCTGAAAAATACAATAACCCAGCCATGCTTCATAACATCGATCAAGAGGTAAACATTATATACTAGGTTGGGGGTTTTTGAGATTGAGGTGCTATACTGGAAGTATTGATGGTTCCCAGCCTAAACACTTACTTCCTAGAAAGTTCATTTCAAACTGGGCATGGTAGAACACACTTGTAATCCCAGGAACTTGGGAGGATGAGACAGGAGGATGGAAAATTTGAGACCAGACTGAGCAACTTAGCAAGACTTTGACTCAAAAATAAAAAGGAGGGCTGAGGGTATAGCTCAGCAGTAGAGCACTTACCTACCATCTGCAAGGTCCTGAGTTTGATCTCCAGTGCTACAAAAAAAATAAAAAATTTAAAAAGAGCTGGGGATATAAAAAAGTAGGTTTAATTTCAAAATGGGCTGCTTAAGGGGCTGGGGATGTGGCTCAAGCGGTAGCGCTCGCCAGGCGCTGGGTTCGATCCTCAGCACCACATAAAATAAAATAAAGATGTTGTGTCCACCGAAAACTGAAAAGTAAATATTAAAAAATTTCTCTCTCTCTCTCTCTCTCTCTCTCTCTCCCTCTCTCTCCCCCTCTCTCTCTCTCTCTCTCTCCCCCTCTCTCCCTCCCTCCCTCCCTCCCTCTTTAAAAAAAAATGGGCTGCTTAAAACTCTTTTAAGATGGGCATAGTGAAATATACCTATAGTCCCAGTGACTTGGGAAGTTGAGGCAGGAGGATTTCAAGTTTGACACCAGCTCAGCAATTTTAGCAAGGCCCTAAGCAACTTAGACCCTGTCTCAAAATAAAACATAAAAGGGGCTGGGGATGTGGCTCAATGGTTAAGCACCACTGGGTTTAATCCCCAGTACCAAAAAAAAAAAAAAATTTTTTTTAAGATTGTTGGGCTGTAAACAAATAGTGGGCTTAGTGGGTTTAGATTTCCCCACTAGCTCACCAAACCTTATTGAACTCAAAAAACACTTGAAGGATCCAGTACAATTTTGTCTGTACCCAGTTGTCATTTACAAGGTAGTTTTGTTTCCATGATGAGATGATCAGCAAACAATTGATCAGAAGCAGAGTCCAGGATAGAGTCTGTTTCTGAACATCTGAGTAGGGAAATGATTGAGCCTCTGTGAAATACAGAAACCTAAAAGCAATACTTGTTTATCTACAAGTGCTGCTTTGACCCTTCCTGGAGTATTAGGTACATTGTACTTGTACTATGCTAACTTTCTGAATCCAAAACATTCTGACTCTAAAACCTTTTAGACTTTTCAGATCAGGGATTGTGAACCTTTGGCACCACATTAACACCTGCAGTTACAAAGATGGAATTTGGTTCACAGGGATTGTGGCTCAGCAGTAGAGCGCTTGCTTAGCACATATGAGGCCCTGGGTTCCATCCTCAGCACCACATATAAGTGAATAAACATTGTGTCCAACTACACCTAAAAAATATTTCTTAAAAAAAAGGATAGAATTGGGCTAGGGATGTGACTTAGTGGTAGAGTACTTGCCTGCTATGTGTGAAGTCCTGGGTTTGATCCCCAGAACTGCCAAAAGATTAAAAAGGATGAAATTGACCCAGGCCCACCTGCTAATTGTGTTCCAACTTGCGTGTCATGTAGATGCTGAAGTGCATAGAGCTGGATGAGAGACTGAAGGCCATGGACCAGGAGATCACAGTAAATCCCCAGTTTGTGCAAAAGGTGAGTGGGATTCTCTCATTAAAAAAGCAGACTGTGTATAGACAGGGATACCGCTACATCAAGCATGATAACTGGGTTTCAGATTATTAAATATTTGGTTGCCCATTGTTCTTGAAGACCATTATCAAGCTTACAGAGAAATATTTGCTCAGACATTTTTAGTGACGGCCTGAAGTGTGCTTACGGAGACTCCTGAGCTGCCTGCTCTCATTGTTTCCAGGGTGACTTTCCTCTGGGAGGGACAGGATGAGCAGCTGGTATGCTGGTTTGGGGATGGGGAACCCCGTGACAAAGGCAACCATAAACAAACCACTTTGCTGTCCCTTTCACAGAGTATGGGCTCACAAGAAGATGATTCAGGAAACAAACCCTCCAGTTACTCCTGAAACTAACACCCATCCCAAGTACAACAAGAAAACCTGGCATTCACCTTCGCCACAGCGAAGTTACGAGGGCAGCAGGGAGTACAAGCCTGTTCCACCTGGACATTAAGAAATTCAGTTTTGTTTTGACATCTTCAGCCCTATGTGCTTTCAGAAAACCATTCTCTCTGCAAAGAACGGAAAAAAATTTTCAAACTTTAGAGTCTGTTGTGGATTTATTTATCCTCAGATTATTGTTATTGCATTAAATTTACCTTTTTGTTTTAATTCCTTCAACATTGATGTGTCTTCTGTATCAATTCCCCCCCTCTGAAAAGGTTGTAACAAACACATATGTAATGCATAGAAATAGTTGGGTTTTAGGAATTTGGAGAAGATTTGAATCTAAAAGTTTTTGTCAGCATCCCTGCCCCCTCCCCCACCCAATGCTGGGAGAATCTATAAGATTTTATCTAAATTTTAAAGTTAGAATTAGGCATGCCTGTAATCATGAGACCAGCCTCAGCAACTTATTGAGGCCCCAAGCAATTTTGTGATGCACTTCCTCAAAAAATAAAAAGGGACTGGGATGTATCTCAGTGGTATAGTGCCCCTAGGTTCAATCCCCAGTACCCCTCCCCAAATAATAAATAAAATAAGGTGGATTTCACAGGCATTTTAGTGATAACATGAATCATGTATTTGCAATGCTGTGGAAGGACTTTCTGACCTCTGATGTGCGTTCCCTTCGGTAGTCATCCTGAGGATGGCAGACTTATTTTTCTTCTTGAAGCACCTTCGGGTTCGCTGCACCACAATTTTTGTGTGAATGTATTAAAAGTCAAACACTGTCACTTTATAACTTTTAATCAGTTTAAAGTGGATTGGTTTACTTGGCACCAATCCAAATAGAAATCTAAATGTAATGCAAGTATTGGATTCTGACAGCAATGAATTATTTTCAAGAATCAAGAGTATTCGCATCTGAGATCATTTTGAAAAGGCAAATTTGAAAAATACTTAAGACCTGACAGATCCAAAAGAATCCAAAGTTACACCCTTGGGCCTCAGAAACAGACCTAAGTGCAAACTCACCATTTTTCAGCATCATCAGAATACCTCATGTTGGAAAAAAACAAAGAAATCAAACCCGTGCTTGAAAGTAGGTGGGCAAAGCAGACCTTTACTTCTGGCAGGGGGGCAGCTACAGAATCTGGTTAGCACGTGTGCTTGGGTGGGCAATCCACCTGCTTTTATGTAGAACCTAACAGCAGCGCTCCCCTTCACTCTGATGGGAGGAGTTCCAAGTGACCATCTACGGGATTAGCTAATTTTCCAATTAGGGCTGGCAAAAGGGAATTGCTGGAATTATGGGCGTGCAAGTCCAAGACACAGGCAGAGAGCCTAGGCAACATATATTTCAGAAAAATCAAGTGTAAAGCCCTAAACAGTCTCTTCTTAGATACCAAAGAGGCATGTATCTCCTTGACTCATAAGATTTTTCAAAAGTAATTCCCATCAGGAGAGAAACCACTTACCAGTTTGTTTAATAGAAAAAGTTTTGGGGCTAGGGTTGTGGCTCAGTGGTAGAGCACTCAGCAAGTGTGGGTGAGACACTGGGTTCGATCCTCAGCACCACATAAAAGTAAATAAATAAAAATAAAGGCATTGTATCTACTTACAACCAAAAAAAAGGGGAAAAAAAAGTAAAAAGTTTACCAGAGCCATCAACCAGGTATTGGAGGAGGAATTGCACCAATGTAGTAACTGTGGGAAGCAGGAACTACTCCTTAGGGCGTGGGAAACAAAGAGATTGGGATTAATATAATTTGAAAATCTGAAAGAGGGTTCTAGTGGGACTGAGCCAACTTCTGTGCAGGCTCAACTTCTGAGCCTGCCTCCTAGGGCCCATATTCCTCAGGGAAGTGTTGAGGCTAATTCTAGAAGCAAGGGGGAATATCTTGAACTGGAACTGCTGCAAATGGAATCATCCTCGCTGGGTGGTAGTGCTCAACAGAAGCAGAGAGGTACCTGTCTCTTTCCAGCTGCGTTACAGGACTGGTCTCAATCATATTATGGGGGTTAAAGCTGAGATAAAGATAACTTGCACTGCCCCCACAACATTGGCTTCGCGATGGTGGGGCGGTAACTGGTTTGCAAGGCCTTAAATATCACAATCCTTTAGAGTTAAAAATTTCCATGTGATATTTTTATGAAATCAACTACATCATTAGAAGTCCCCAAGAGACAGTCACCAATGGCAGCCACTAGGGAGTTCCTGAACATACTTTAAGGGGAATTTCAGATCCAGATAAACCACTTGTTCAATTTATGTTGTATGTATTTTTTTTTTGGGGGGGGGGTGGTGTGCTGGGGATTGAACTCAGGGCCTTGTGTGAGGCAAGCACTCTACCAACTGAGCTATATCCCTAGCCCAGTTGTATGTATTTGTGTGTGTGATACTGGGGATTAAACCTAGGGTGTTCTATCACAGAGCTACATCCACCCCCCTCCTTTTTTTTTTTTTTTTTTCATTTTGAGACAGGGTCTTGCTAAATTGCTCCCAAGTAGCTGGGATTACAAGAATGCACCACCATGCCTGGCCCAATTTCAATTAAAAAAAAAAAAATCATGCCGGGTACAGTGGTGCAGGCCTGTAATCCCAACACTAGGGAGGCTGAAGCAGGAAGGATCCCTGAGTTCAGGAGATCAAGGCCAGCCTGTGGCTGGCCTCTCAAACATCTAAAGTGTATAGTTAAGACAAATTTCCTTTAAATGGTAAGTTCGAAGCCAGCCTCAGAAATTTTGCAGGGCCCTAAGGAGAAACCCTATGTCAAAAACCATAAAGGGCTGGGGATGTGGCTCAGTGGTTAAGTGCCCCTGCCTTCAATCCCCAGTACCTATCCTGAAAAAAAATATATATGTATATGTGTAAATATATATACACACTCCCAAATATATATATATATATATATATATATATATATTAGTATTATATATTATATACATATTAATGTTGTATATTAATCTCTTTGTTAAAACCAGGCATGACCACTAATTTGAAGTTTGTGGGACATTTTGTAAGATGTCTGCATATTAGTGCGGAAATCAGTTAATGTGGCCATTTCAGCATGAATCCAGTTCATTTTGATGAACGCTAAAATGTTGTTTTACTTTTTACTATTTGTGTGTGTGTGTGTGTGTGTGTTACTGCATCACAAAGCTACAACCCCAGCCCTTTTTCAAACTTACTTTGAGACAGGGCCTAACAAAGTTACTCAGGCAGGACTTGAACTTGCCATCCTCCTGCCTTGGCCTCCGAGTTCTGGGATTAGAAGTGGGCCAATGCTCCTGGCTGATGTTTTCTTTTAGAGAATGGAAAAGAGAAAGATGTAAGGTGACTGCACACATTTCTTGCATCTTTTCACTAAAGCTCTCAAAGCATTTTGTAAACTCAGTAAAATTCAAGTATCTCTATTGGCCACAAAGGTTAAAGTAGAATTCCAAAGTAGTATACCTTTGTGTAATTTTTGCTTCGGAAATTATGTGCTGTTCAATATCAGGAACCATTGGATTAGTAAGAGTAATTAAACACACAAAGCCCGTGTTTAACTTTGTAACCCCACCCTGTTCTCCTTAATCTTTACCAGGCTAGTAAAACTGAAAACACAAGTAGCAATTTCTCAGGTCCCCAGTCTATTTCAACATAACATGAAATTTCAAAGGGAGAGAAAAAATGTCTTCAACCATCCAATTCCACTCAGACGGGCTGAGGCTTCCCCCGAGCCTTCCTGATGACCACACTCTGGACATCCTGCTGGAATCACAGCTCCGAGTCCGGCCTGGAAGCTCGCACAGCAGAGGACGGGCGTCTGGGCTCGCACAGCAGAGGACGGACGTCTGGGCTCGCACCGCACACCAGGTGACAGCGCGATCCCAGGACCCGGCCACAGCCGGCTGCGCTGGGCCTGATCCTCACCTCTTCGCCTCTTCGCCAGGAAGGACCACGTTACCTCCTGCGGTAACAACTTTTAACAGACCCACAGGCTTCAAAAGATTTTACTCCACAATTGTTGGATGTTTTTTGAAAACTTGGGGGGAGTGGAGGACAGGAATGAAGCACGCACACGCGCACACCCGCCTCGCTCGTCTGGAATTACGCAACCGGCCTCCCTCGCGTTGCGGGCTTCCCTGTGTCACGTGACCGCTTCCTCCCAGGTACCTGCCCGCACTTTCCACTCTCCTTAGAGTTCAGACGGGTTCCAGTGGCGAATTTTAAAAAAAACAGCTGGCTTAAGTGAAGTTATACCGCTTCTAGGAAATTCTTCTTTATTTTTTCTGTGTAGTAGAAGAGTCTTAGGCTGGCTATATTTTCCCTAAACTCTCTTAAAATGTTTTTCAAACTTAAGCATCTCCCCGCGTTTGGGATGGTTTCCTCCACCCGCGGGGTGGTTTGAACCATTCTTTACCTCTGGGCGGGGGGAGGCGACTGGAGGTGGCCAAGAAGGGGTGTCTGGCAGATGCGCGTCGTTCCCCGCCGGACTTCGGAATTGTAGAACCCTGGCTGTATTGCTGGAGGTGGCTAGTTGTGCAGGGCTCCTCAGATCCTGGGGCGCAGGGAGCGCTTGGGCGGTTCCAGCTCCCCCACTGCAGGGCCGGTGGTTGGTATGGCCCGGCCGAGTCACGCGCCCCGGGGTTCGGCGCCGGGGCTGCCGGAGCTGAGGGGTCTGCGGGTGAGTTTGGTGGCGCTGGACTCGGCCAGCTCCCTCGAGGGCGGGGCTGGGGCTGACAGACCTCCTGTGGGGTCGGGTCGGAAGTGGCCCTGGCGGCGCTCTGGTGGGACGCGGCCCCTCAGCGACCGCGACCTGAGCCTGTTAGTCGGGGGCGGGGCTGACGCGTTGAGGTGCTAGGCGAGGGTCAGCTCCGGGCCCTGGGCTGCAGCAGGGATTGGGCTGACTCTGTGTGGGTCCGAGGTGGGCGAATGATGGGGGGTTTAGGACCTAGTGGAAGGCATCGCCGAGACCCTGAGGTATGGGGGCATGATGGGCATGTTCCCCAGGAAGGTGACCTGGGTTAACCCCCCACCACCACCAAGTCAGGACCCTCCATTTATTCTCGTTGAGTGTTACCGTGAGACTGCGCTCTGACTGCCCCCCACTCAGGTTGGGTTTCCCTCTGGCTTGGGCCCCTTCTCCCAGGCTGGCATTCCTACAGAGCAGAGTCTTCTGGATCAGCTCAGCATCTTCCATGAAGGATTGAAGGCTTCTGTTATGCCCAGTTTGGTGGGTATTGACAGACTCATTCTCAGCTCAGGGATTGGCTTGTGGATGGAGGTTCAGGGTACTCACTGGCAGCCTTGGGAGGCAGAGGGCAGAAGGTGCTGATCCTCCAGCCCTTGGATACCTGGCACGATCATCCGTGCCCAGGCTGGCAGGAGGAACTTTCTGTTACAGCATGGAAAGGCCACAGTCAGACTGCTGCTGGAGGTGTTAGATTGTCACCATTGTCATTAGGTAATTGAGCAATAGTGGTACATGACACTGTGTTTGCTCTTCTGTAGTGTCTCGTGTCAGGGAGCTCTGTAAAGGTGCTCAGAGAAGTAACATTTGATGTSATCTGACTGCTAAGGGTTAGAGTCCCAAGTAGTAGATCTTTGTGACTCCAGAGCAAAGTGTCATGTAGTGTTYCTTACTGCCTTACAGTAGCTGTGTGGGACTGTGGCATACACAATCAGTATGTTCAGAGCTCTTGTGGAAGGAATGCTTTTTCGTCGAAACAAAGCTAACAATAAGAGTAGTCTGTGTTGATCCTGAATGCTGGGCACTAGTAGGTTAGCAGCATTGCCTCTGGTTTCCTTTTCCCATTTGGGAAGGGGATGAGAGTAATGTCTAGGTCTGTGGTCTGAAGGGCTCAATTGGCATGATGTGTATGTTGCCAAAGTGACCTTAAAACCAGTGGCTTTATATTTTAAAGATATTTTCTATTTTAAAAAGATCATAATAGGTCTGGTGCTGTAGCTCAGTGGCAGAGCGCTTGCCTAGCATGCATCAGGCACTGGGTTCGATCCTCAGCATCACATAAAAATAAATAAAATAAAGGCATTCTGTCCATCTATAACTACAAAAAGAAATTAAAATCATAAATATGTTTAAGGAGATCCCTTTTCTTTGATTTCACTTCATATTATTATTATTTTTTAAATATTTATTGTTTAACTGTAGTTGGACATAATACCTTTTTTTTTTTTTTTTAAAGAGAGAGAATTTTAATATTTATTTTTTAGTTTTCGGTGGACACAACATCTTTGTTTGTRTGTGGTGCTGAGTATCGAACCCGGGCCACACGCATGTCAGGCGAGCKCGCTACCGCTTGAGCCACATCCCCAGCCCCAATTTTATTTATTTTTATGTGGTGCTGAGGATTGAATCCAGGGCCTCTCACATGCTAGGTGAGTGCTCTACCACTGAGCCCCAGCCCCAGCTCTTCATATTATTTTTAGTAGAAATGAAGATTGGATTTAGGGGTGCTATACTTCTGATCTATACTTCCCAGCCCTTTTTAATCTTTATTTTGAGACAGGGTCTCAATAAATTATCCAGGCTGGCCTTGAATTTATGATTCTTCTGCTTTAATCTTCYGAGTTGCTGGGATTAATAGGTGTGTTCCACTGTGCCCAGTTAAGGAGATTCTTTTTCAAATATTGCATTAGAGGTGTAAAACTTTAGCTTCAGTGTCATTTGCTATCAGCCACTGCTCAAAATATGAGAGGGCAAACTGAGTACAGTGGCACATTCCTGTCGTCTGAGTGATTTAGGAGGCTGAGGCAAGAGGATTACAAATTCAAGGCCAGTTTCAGCAACTTAGACCCTCAGCAACTTATGAAGACCCTGTCAATTATAAGTAAATAAATAAGTAAGTAAATAAATAAATCTCCCCTGATTTCAATCCCCAGTATCAAAACAAAACAAAATTTAAAAATCCCCCCAAAATGAGAGGGCTGCTAAACCATTCAGAACCACAGGCATATTAGCTTTCTGTTACTGTGACAAAATACCTGAGAAAATCAACTTACAAGGAAGAATTTATGTTGGCTTATAGTTTCAGAGGTTTCAGCCCATGATCACTTGGTCCTTTTGATTTGAGTCTGTGGCAAAGCAGCACATCATGGTGGGTGTACGTGATAGTGCAGAGCTCTCACTTCATAGCAGCTGGGAAGCAAAGAGAGAGGGGGAGGGATGGGGGTCCTCAATGACCTAACTTTCTAGTAGATCCCACCCAAGGGTTCCACCCCTCCTCACAGAACACATGGCCTATGGGAGATGTTAAGATCTAAACCATAACAACAGATGAATCTCCAAATTCTCTTTTGCAATGTCCTAATTTGAGGTTGACTCTRAGCYTCTTGAATGTTTTTTTCATGCTGTTTTTTTTTCCGCCTTTTCTAGAATATATCAGGTCTTGGGGTATGACGGACATTGCCATGGTTGACTCATGTGTACAGACTTGGCATTCTCTGTGTTTCTGCTAAGTATAAGGTTAGTATTGATGCTGGAAGAAACCTTATTTCTTGTCCCTTTATACCTCAAAGGAAGATGTGGGCGCCTTTTCTAGGGTTATATCCCCGCTTTAACTTTGGGTGCTGATTCCCCTTTTCCTTCCCAGCCACACGTATTRTAACAGTGGTCACTTTGCTCTTCCACAGTAGATTTTTATTTTTTTATTTTTYGCGTGTTGGGAATGGAATCCAGGGCCATATGCATGTTAGRCACACACTCTACCACTGAGCCACACCCCTAGTCCCACAGTGAATTATTATTCTTTTTTTTTTGTTTTGTTTTTTTTTTTTGGTGATGCTGGGGACCACTGAGCTACATCACCAGCCCTTTTTTATTTTGAGACAGCGTCTCACTAAGTTGCTTAGGGCCTCTTAAATTGCTGAGGCTGGACTTGAATTTGCTATCCTCCTGCTTCAGCCTCCTGAGCTGCTGGGATTACAGGTGTGTGCCACCACACCTGGCCCCACAGTGAATTCTTAAGCTACTGCTGTCCTTGGCCCCAYTGTTGTGAATCCTTGTTTCAATTCAGACCACTCGGTTCCTGTGCCAGTAGACTGTGGCCTTCCCCTAGTGTGCCCTGGAGCCTCTCCTGTTTATGGATATCTCCACTTTCTCTGCCCACAGTTGTCATCTCTCCGAGGACAACTCCTAAATAAATAATTTATCTAGCACATGCTAATTTGGTGCTTCCTGTGTGTAGATGCTGGGGATATAGCAGTTAGCGAGACCAAGTCTCCACTTTTAGGGACCTTTCATTTTATGGGGGAGCATATTCAAACACTGGGGTTCCTGGTATGAAAAGTGCTAGGACTTAACGCAGGGGAAGAGGAATGATGGAATGAAGGTGGGTGGCTGCATGGGTTGGGTAGGGAGGGCCCTGGGCGAAGACAGGCAGGTGGAGGCCCCATGGTGAGGAGTGACCCAGGCAGAGATCCTGGGGTGTTGGGGTCTGCCCTCTGTGATAGTGCAGTTGGAATCTCTGTAGAACTCTCAGGCTTTTTAGCCAAGTGTCCTGTTGACTCCCAGATAGAGGATGCTGTCACCAGCTACCTCCCCTCCCTTCCCCTAGAGGACTGTTCWTACCCCGCCACCTACAGTCTGAATCTCCCAACTTTGCCCCCCCCTCACACCCTCAGCACCCCAGGTAAGCTCATGTGACCTGCCAAGCCTTGGTCATAACCACGTCCTGTCGGCCAGGGAATGAGGACTCAGGGAGGGCCTCTTCCCTCCATCTGCCGCTCTTCCTCTTCTGGTCTTCCACATTACTTTCTTCAAGTCCCATGTCTCCCCACTAGCAGTCTGCTRGCCCTGCCTTGGAAATGTTCACTGTCTGCTGCCCTCCTCCCAGTGCAGCCTTTGGCCAAGGCCCCATTGATTCTTCCTCAGGGCAGTGGGGCCCCTCAACTGGCTTCCTCCCTTCCTCCCTGCTCCTACATTCTCTTCTCCGCACACCAGCCTGAGGGAGCCCTTCCGGCTATAGTTCAGATCTTCCCATGCCTCTCATCAGGCCCACCAGATCTCTTCCAGTCTGAAGATACATTCTGGGGCCTATTTCTAGGGCCTCGAGGCCTAGAAGCCTGAAGTCTGCTTCCTGTAGCCTTGGCCCTCAGCTCTTGCTCCTCTTCAGAGCCGCTCAATCCGCAGGCACTGCCCCCCATCTCTCCCTGGCGCCTTGTGGCGCCAGCCCCTCCCTGCACCTGCTACCTTTAGGGGTTCCACTGTGTCCTCTGTAGCCTGGTGTGTGTGGGAATGAGTAGTGTTCCCTGTGTCCCCCTTGGAGGTGCGCTTCCCAGGGGCAGTCTCATAGCCCCCATCTCTTGCCTGGCCTGCTGGATCAAGAGCTCCCGGGTTTCCTGGGTTGCTTTCTTTGTGTCACTCTAGTGGTGTGACATTACACATGTTGCTGCACTGGATGTCACTCCGGGGTATATATTTTCCCTGTGTGCTCTGCTGCCTCTCTGTGCAAGTGTTTACTCATGKTTTCCTCCTCTGACATAGCTCCCCAGGATGGGACCCTGTCTGTCCTGCTCTTGTCTCCTGTTCCTGAAGCAGTGTGGCACAGAGCGGGTGCTCAGCCTGTGTCAGCTGGGTGGTGACTTGCTTCTGCGGTGTGGGAATTCTGTCCTTGTGGTCCTGGTGTTCCGGAAGCCCTGGGGAGGTTGTGATATGAACAGGTGAAACCACCTGACAGTGTCTCTGCTYCCACAGGCTTCTGCCGATCTCTAAGGCACCATGAATGCCATCGTTGCCCTCTGTCACTTCTGTGAGCTCCATGGCCCCCGCACTCTCTTTTGCACGGAAGTTCTACACGCCCCTCTACCCCAGGGGGCCACGAATGGGGACAGCCCAGGCCCAGGGGAACAAGCCGAGGAGGAAGAGGGCGGCATCCAGATGAGCAGCCGGGTCCGTGCCCACAGCCCAGCTGAGGGGGCCAGCGCGGAGTCCAGCAGCCCAGGGCCCAAAAAGTCAGACATGTGTGAGGCAAGTGTCTGAGGGGTTGTTTTGCCTTCTGCTGGAGGTGGGAGGGAGGTGCGGGAAGGAAAGGAGACTCTGAATCTGTAGAGCACAGGTGAGGCCTCAGGGGACAGCCCAGCTTCATTACCTCTCTGATGCCTGAACTCTCTGAGGCCCCAGGCTCTTTCCCTTCGTACCAGCTTTGGCTTTTTAACCCACTCTGTCAGCAGGCAGTTGTCCCCAGCTTAGCCTTTGCCTTTGTGCTCACACACTGCAGCTGTGCYAGGTTTGGGTCTCCTCAGCCCAGCAGCCCCGGGGGTTTCCGCTCTCAGGATCCTGGCACTCCTTACTGGGTCACTGTGTGAGCTCTGGAGTGAAGCTGAAGTTCTCTCAGTGGGCCACATGGGAGGAGCTGGGCCAGGCCTGCAATCAGGTGGGAACAGCCTGTTTGATTCTCCTGAGAAGCAGATGGTCTGGAATTTCTGGAAACACCTGTGAGGGACCCAAAAGGGAGCAGAACTAGGGAGAACCTTCTGAGAGGAGTGTCGGATGGTTGCCAGGTCATTGGAGAGGCCTTGAGCATTGGTTACTGTGGCCTTGGAGCCCTGAACCTCTGGGAAGGGCTTGCCTCAGAGTCCTCATGTGCACAGGGCTGGGGTGCATAGCCTCAGAACCACTCCCTGCAGTACGGTACTTTTTCAAGCTGCTGCATTAACACTCTGAAGTCCTGCTTCTGCCCCATCACTGTTGGGCCCCTTGCCTGTGGCCGAGGCCCCTGCCAAGTATTTGTTCAGGACCAAGGACAAAAGCCTGGTAGAGGGACTGGTGGCAACATCTGAGAAAGTGGTATAGCTCTAGACCCTTGGTATCTTTGTTTCTTTTTTTCCCCTCATGGTGCTKGGCATCACACATGCTAYGCAAGTGCTCAAACCCCTGGCTCTGGATCTTTGGAGCAGCTTCTTTGCATCTCAGCCTCAGTTTTTTCTTCTTTAAAATGGGGCTTCTTACTATAATCACCTCATGGGGTTGCTCTGTGGATGAGATAAAGCATCCAAAGCTCTTTTCATAATAACTGCTCCATGAATAATCAGTAAATACATTATTACTAGCCCCTGGCAACCTATGGAGCCCTGGATCCAGGCCTTCCTCCTTAGAATTCATTTAAATGTTCAGATAAGAATAGATCTAGGAACTGGTTATTTTATGCATGTATGTATTTTACTGGGGATTTAACCCAGGGGCATTCTACTACACCTCCCCTTTTTTTAATTTTTTTTTTTTWTTTTGAGACAGGGCTGAGGCTGGTCTTGAACTCACCATCCTCCTGCCTCAGCCTCCTGAGTAGCTGTGATTACAGGTGTGTTCCACCAGGCCTGGCAGGAGCCAGTTATCTTTCTACAAAAATAGATCATGCTTTCTAAATCCAGATCTAYGTATGAATAAGACAGTTTGTTGCCCACCTCTAACAGGTTTTCTTTTTCTTTTTTTGGATAGGGTTGCCGGTCACTTGCTGCTGGGCACCCAGGCTATATCAGCCATGATAAAGAGACCTCCATTAAGTACGTTAGTCACCAACACCCAAACCACCCCCAGCTCTTCAGCATTGTCCGCCAGGCCTGTGTGCGGAGCCTGAGCTGCGAGGTAAGCTCCAGGCAGATGTGGGGTCGTGGAGAAACTCACCTGCATGGGATCAGTGCCAGTTTGGGATCGGGAGATGGAAGGTGTTCTTCTTTGCTTTTCTGCGCTGACAGAAAGTATGGCTACGTTGGTTGCCTGGAACACCCAGAATATGTCCTGGTGGACTCTCCAGCCCCACCCCCCCATTCTGGGGTTGGAACCCAGGCCCTCATGCATGCCTGTGCTTTAACACTGAGCTACATCGAGCCTCTTGGACTCCAGTTTCTAAATAGGTGCTGGCTTTTTACTTTAAGGTCTAAAATCCTAAGATACAGATTGGGACATATTCCTAAGATACAAATGATTTCTAGGACCTATACTTCACTGTATCAAATGTCAGCGTTTTTTACCATCTCAGTTATCACTCTACATTTCAGGGATCATCCAGTGCTACTTAGAACCTCCTCTTGGGTCCTAAGTATGGCTCCTGCTGTCTAGCTTGAGTCTTAGCTTYTATGTTTTTATCTGTCACAAAGAACTCATGATCCAGATACTAACCTTTCCTGGTGCTGTGTCCACTCTGTCAGACCCTCTGAGCCCTGTTGATTCTCACTGTTCTTGTATACCTGCCTGCAGCTGTTCCCCTCTTTTAATTCCATGCTGCACATCGGTCAGTAGGCAGACAGGCCGTGTGCTTGAATTATATGTAAAGTAAGAATAAGTGTGTCATGCAGAAGGGACTGGAGGACTCTGAGAATTGAGGGTGCAGATTTAACTGGATGGACTGCAGTTTTGACCTGCCAACTCTTCAGTCTGCTCCTGATGAGCAGTGGCAGGGGTAGAAGGAATATTGGTACAGGAGTTACAGATTTCAAGGGGAGAACAGTAATGAACCTAGGCACCTTGGCACTCCATGGTCACCAGTGTTACCTCCAGAAAGTTTGTGGGACCTGGGGTRTGGCTCAGTGATAGAGCATGTGCTTAGTCCCCCTACACCAGAAAAGGAAAAGTAAGTTTGCACACAAGAGTAGGTGACTGCTGGGCTTTCCATTCTCTGTCTGCCATTGCTTTGCTGTTACTGGCTAACTTATGCCAAAAGAAAGGTCTAAGGAGGGGCTGGGGGCGTAGCTTAGTGGTAGAGCACCTGCCTAGCACGTGGGCAGCCTGGGTTTGACCTGTAGCACCAGAAAACAAACCAAAACAAAAGCAGAGATCTGAGAAGGCGGCTTTGACCTGGTGTTCCTAGAGCAAGAAGGGGACATCCCTCCAGTTGCTGTGGTTTCTTCCAGGTGTGCCCTGGCCGAGAAGGTCCCATTTTCTTTGGGGACGAGCAGCATGGTTTTGTGTTCAGCCACACCTTCTTCATTAAGGACAGCCTGGCCAGGGGCTTCCAGCGCTGGTACAGCATCATCGCCATCATGATGGACCGGATTTACCTCATCAACTCCTGGCCCTTCCTGCTGGGGAAGATCCGTGGGATCATAGATGAGCTCCARGGCAAGGCTCTCAAGGTGTGTCTGAGAGGGAAGGGGAGGGGATGGCACTGCTGGTGTCTTTCTGCGCTGCTGTGTTCACTGAGAGCCCAGGCAGGTGTCCCCTTGGCCTGCTCCACTGCATACCCAAGTGTGGTCTCTTGGCTTCTGATTCGGGCATGTGTGTGCCTCCTGGCCCTCCCACCTGCTTTTCTGGCCCCTCCTGCTCTGCTGTCCTGGGTCTCCTTGGTTCTRGCTTCCTCCCTGTTGTCTCTGCCTCCTCTGCCCAACATGTCAGAGACTATGCCTTCGTCCTATCCCGTACCCCCGGGAGCCAGTGGCTGGATAGGAGAAAGGATGGAGGAATTCTGTGCCAGCCCCTGTCCTCTGGAGGTGCAGCCATTCTGTGTCAGAATGTCAGGCTGCTGACGTATCCTAGGCTCCGTGTCTGGAGAGCAGAGTGGGACGTCTGGGGGAACACCTGTGGTGGCTRTTGTGAATGAGCAGGTTCTGGCTGTTGACTGGTTATGAAAGAGGCTGCCCTGTCCCTTCACATTCCAGGTGTTTGAGGCGGAGCAGTTTGGATGCCCGCAGCGAGCCCAGAGGATGAATACAGCATTCACACCCTTCCTGCACCAGCGGAACGGCAATGCTGCCCGCTCGCTGACTTCCTTGACCAGCGATGACAACCTGTGGGCCTGTCTTCACACGTCCTTTGCCTGGTAGTGTAGAGTCGAGGGTTTCTGGCAGGTCTTAGAATAGGAGAAGTTACCATGTTTAGGTGATCTGTGGTTGGGGAGGGTGATCCTGGCTGGGTTGCACAGCAGCCTTCAGGTAGAGTTAGGTCCTGTGTGCGTAGGACTGTGGAACCCTTGTTCTCTGGGCATCTCCCCACTGGTGTGTGGAAAACACATTTAGGTGGACCTCACTTTCTAATAATACAAAGAAATATTTCTATAAAAAAGTTAGTGATCCTCTCCCTTTAAAAAAAAGTGCATGTCTGCAATCCCAGCAACTCGGGAGGCTGAGACAGGAGGACACCGGTTCTAGAYCACCCTCGGCAACTTAGCAAGGCCCTAAGCAATTTAGCCGGACCCTGTCTCAAAATAAAAGACTGGGGGTGTAGTTTAGTGGTAAAAGCCCCTGGATTTAATCCTCAGTACCAAAGAGTAAAAACAAAAACCTAAAGCAACTTTTATCTTACGTAGCGCCTGTGGGTTAAGAAGTTAGGAGTTGCTGGGGTTGTGGCTCAGTGGTAGAGCGCTTGCCTAGCATGTGAGGCCCTGGGTTCCATCCCAGCACTACAGAAAACTAAATAAACAARGGTATTGTGTCCATCTACAATTAAAATATTTATTTAAAAAAAAAAAGTAGTAGTTAGAAGTAACTTAGCTGGGTGCTCTGGCCCCGGTCTTCTTGTCTGGAGCTGTAGTCTGCTGAGGGGCCACTTCCAAAGTGTCCCTGAAGGGGCAGTGAGTGCGTGCTGGCTCTGGGAARGGGGCCTTGGATCCTCTCCATGTGGATATGCCGCTGGCATCCCCAGAGTGACTGGTCGGGGATGGTGGGGTATGCCTGGGCTTGGCGGGTACACACTGCCCCTTCTGGCACTGTTAGAAGTGTGCCCTGTCATTAAACCCAGACCTGGCAAGGTGAGGGATTAACGTCTCGAATGGAGGCGTGTCAGTGAGTTTTGTGGACATATAGTTTTGTGGAACCAGACTGTTCCCTGGCCACAGGTTGTATCTGTTCCTTCCACTGCAGAATATACTCACTCCTTGTAAAGACCCCCATTGGTACTTATTTCTGTTCAGGGTCAGTTTGAAGCTCTGAGTCAAGGATCCTTGTGTAAATTTGTGCTGGTGTGGATGAGGCTTCKGGGGTGCAGCTTCAAGGTCCTGTAAACTAAAGGGGAAAAGTATCTGTCCACCCACCTGACATACAGTCCTTCCTGTATTTAAGAAAAAAATTGGCAAGTGAAAATTCATATATTTATGGCCTACATTATGTTTTGATAYAGGGTCATGTGTCACATAAAGACATTTCGGTCAGTAGTGGACATAAAATAGTGCTCCTGTAGATTGTCACCTGATGACATCATAGCTGTCTCCGTTTGCACAGGCACACTTTATGGTGTTCATATAAGGATGAGATCACTGAGTGATGCACACTGCCCTGTTGTTAAGTGATGGATCTTTGTCCTATGATGGCTAAATCACACTGGAGACATGCATTTCCTTTTTGTTTGTGATGCGAACACTTAGACTCTATTCTTTTAGCTTCCTCTTATATTTTAAAAAATCAGTTTTTATTAAAGAGATTTTATACAGATGCAAAGTAAAAGAAATAATGCAGTGAACCTGCCCCCTCTGCTATTGACTTTGAAAGTCACCRGCATTTCCTTCTCTCCTCTCACTTTTCATATTATCTATTTTTTTTTTTTTTTTTTTTTGGTGGTGCTGGGGATCGAACCCAGGCCCTTGTGCATGCAAGGCAAGCACTTTACCCTCTGAGCTATGTCCCCAGCCCTCGTATTATCTTTTAAACCAACAAAAGTTATGTCATTTCAACTATAAATGTAACCACAATACCAATACCCTGTCCAACAACAGTGACTCGTTTTCTTGGTATCCTCCAGGTTCAGTGTTCCCTTGTGTCTCAGAGGTGACTTTTGAGGCAGGATCTGAACAAAGGGTTCCTCTGACCAGCACCCACCCCCATTTTCCTCGTGCCCTTAATTGATTAATTATATTTGAGGTAGTGGGGATTGAATCTCACTCTACCACTGAGCTCTATCCGGCTCTTTATTTTGAGACAGGGTCTTGGTAAGGTGCTGAGGTTGGCCTGGATTGAACCCAGGGACGCATGACCACTGAGCCACATCTCCAGCCGCTACCTTTTTTTTTTTTTTTTTTTTTTAATATTTTATCTAGAGACAGATCTCGGTTGCTTAGTCCTCACTAAGTTGCTGAAGCTAGCTTTGGGCTTGCGATCCTCCTGCCTCAGCCTCCCAGGCTGCTGGGATCCTAGGCACCCATGACACCTGGCTCCCGTGCCCTTTGATGGACCTCAGCCGGTCGTGTCCAGGAGCATAGCCTGCATCCTAGACAGGGCCTGGCGTGTCCTTGCAGTAGCGTCCAGCAGGATTTTTCTCATTTTTTTGGACCCAGGGGTCTCCCTTTGTTGCCCAGGCCAGTCTCCAGTCCTGGGTTCAAGTGACCCTCCCCCGAGTCTCGAGTCTGGGCCTGCAGTGTGCACCACCACACCAGGCTAGCCTTTCTTTTAGATCCATATTTTCTGTGAGCAGGTAGTTGGATCAAGGGGCTCAGTGAACTTTGGTCCCAGTGTCTCCTTCAGCAAGAGTACATCATAGCTGGCGCTRTTCTGGGTTCTCCAGGCTCCTGAAGGCATGTGGCAGCCGGCTGACGGAGAAGCTCCTGGAGGGTGCACCAACAGAGGACACCTTGGTTCAAATGGAGAAGCTTGCTGGTGAGGCTGGGTGCTGCTGCGTGGGCCCGTTGCTGATGGTGGCTGTGGGGGCCGCTGGCTCCTGGCCATCTGGTGGGAGGAGCTGGTGAAAGGAGGCCTGGCTCTGAGGAGGCCAGAGGTTGATCTTGGTGTTTTGGTTGTGATTTTCTGTCGCCTTTTCCTTGATGGTGTCTTGAAAGAATCTGCTTCCCAGGGAGGGCTGCCTGTAGAGAGCTACTGACTGGCTGCTTTCCTCCCACTGTTTATGACAGCCAGGTCCGTGGCCTTGTAGATAGTGTTTTATTCCCTGCTCAGAACCAGTGTTGTTTCATTGGGACCCATGTTTCCCCAGCCTCCCAGGTGTCTGGCCTTCCCCAGGTTCATGATTGGACCCTTCACGTGTGGGGCTCAGGGTCCTGGGTATCTGACTTCCTGGGGACCTGTGTGTGCCCCAGCTTGGGATCACAGGTCTGGATCCTGGCTGTTTCCTGCCAGAGCTGGTTTGATTTCTGGTGGTYTGTGTCCACCATTCTCACAGCCAGGGGTGGGAGAGTGGACTGTGATGTGTGTCACACGTGGTTTGTTACTGTTGATGCTTCCTGGGCTTCAGGTTACACACGACAAGCTTTCTGAATTGCTGGAGCTCTTGGGAGGTCTCCCCAGTGGTCACGCACTTGACCTGTACAGTAACTCTCCCAAGTGGAGAGATTCAGGAGTGAGGTCTCCACGAGAGCAGAAGAGGCTCAGGAAAGATGGAACCTCGCAGTGTGGCCTTAACAGCCCCGTAGATCACCTGGTCCTAGAACTGTTGGTTACTACCGTGGATCAAAGACTCGCAGGCTGGTGCATACCAGAAGGCTTGTCGCWGGCACAGAGAAAACAGGTCTACTGAGTCTCTTAGGAGAGCCTGACAGGCATGCAGGGCTCTGTGTCATGGTTTGGGTCACACAGGAGCTGGGCACACTTAGGAGTCAGCCGTGGCTTCAAATCCCGGTTCTGCTCCTCATGGGCATCTTTCCTTTGAGTCTCACTGTGATCGACCCATAGATGTGATTGTGCGGGCTCCCTGCAGATTGGCTGAAGGGCCATGTGTGTCATATCTGTGAGGCAGGGATGGGAGTGGTTGGGAAGACTGAGCACAATGTGCGGAGCTGGCGGAGGGTCTGCTCAGGGACCAGCCCTCAGCGCTTCCATCATTGGTTGCATTTTCCTACCAGTGGGGAGCAGCTCAGGGCCTTTCAGTAAGTGCTTCTGAAACTCGGTGTGACCCTGGGCCAGGTGGGCTGTGGCCGAGTCCTTCCTGCCCTCCCAGCCAGTAGCCATACGACGGCTGGTGGAGTGGCCAGGAGATGCCTGGACTGCGGTGGTCACCGAGTGAGGCAGTGTGTCTCATGACTGTCCTTGCCGTCTGTTGTGCAGACTTAGAAGAGGAGTCGGAAGGCTGGGACAACTCTGGGGCCGAGAAGGAGGAGAAAGGCCCTGTGCTGCCAGAGGGCGCCGAKGGCCGGGAGCTGGCCAAGTGCCCCACCGGTGCCTCCTCACTCTCAGACTGCGGGAACTGGCAGTCCCGAAAGCTGTCAGTGTTCAAGTCTCTCCGGCACATGAGACAGGTAAGCAGCAGATGTCCCAGCTCCAGTCGGAAACTCAGGAGAAGAGCCCAGCCTTGTCTGTCCAGCACGCTCTGTCCTCTGGGCCTGGCTTTCCTGCTCAGCAGGGGTGACCAGGAGCCTTCTCAGTGGGTGACTGAGGGCCCAGTGGGCATGGGGATGTACTAGCCACAGGACCAGTGCTCACCTTTCCRGGTGGTTGGCTCCCTGTGGTTCTCTGACCTGGTCATTCTAGAATCTTGTAAAGAGATGACTAGCACGATTATTGGTTTACATGAAGCCTAGACTCTTTGTAGCTTGAAAATGATGGTCATTCTTAGAAAAAAATTGGAACTAACATAAATATACAGCTATGATACTTATGGTGTGTCCAAACAACAGCATGTTGTGAAGTCCAGAAGGCACCTTGTATGTCACACTTAAGACAAAACAGTAACACACTAGATCAACTCTTAAATTKGGTCAGATGGGAGGAGAATCTTGTTCAGTGAAGAAGGTAGGTTGTCACCTTTTTATGTTTTTCTGTATTTTTATAAYGATCATTGATCTTATCAGAAGAGAAATCTTTCTGTTTTGGAAAATGGAATAAAAAGAGTGGTTTAATGGCTGATGCCCCCTGGGGCTTCTGTTTAAAAAATGCCCATCTGTCTCTTTCCCCCACCCCCACTCTGTGTTTGGCAGGAGTTGATTGTTTACTTGGATCAGGGAAGGAATCTTGGATCCCACTGGAGGTGGGAGTACTGAGGCTGCAAGGGTTGGTAAAGTGTGGTGTCATAGAGACTTTTTTTGTTTTGTTTTGTTTTTTTGTTTCAAAGTCGTGTTTGTCTTCTTAGAAACCATAAGACAATTGACCTCTAAAATGTCCGTATTATGGGAGTTGATAAAAGTGGGGTGGGAGAGRGGCTTGTTTTGGATTAAAGAGTAAAGACTGGACAACCAAAAGCAATCTTGATCCTCGGYTGGCGTCTAGATGAAAAGAATCACAGCTGTAAAGAATATGGTCAGGGGGCAGAGGCTGTGGCTCAGGGTAAAGTGCTTGCTTCGCCTATGTGAGGCACTGGGTTCTATCCTCAGCACCTCATAAAAATAAATAAAGATACTGTGTGTTCATCTACAAYTAAATAAACATTAAAAAAAAAAGAACATGGTTAGGAGGCTGATCTCATGTGGTGGCTGACCACTGGGTGCTCCTGGTTGTAGTGTGATGTGGCTTGTGGAGGTGAAGCCCTGGGTCTTCCTGGGTGCCGATGTGTTGGGGTGCTTGTGGCTCATTTCCAATGGCTCAGCACAGTGTGCTTATAGAGGGAAGGAAACTGTCGTAAAAAGTTCACACCTTTTTGCTTCAAATGTTTAAAAATAAAATTGAGAGAAATATCTTAAGGTGCAAGAGCTTTGGAATCTTGCTTTTAGGTGCGAATGTGGGACTTCCCCATCTCTCTTCCCTTAGGCCACGCAGCCTCCTTGAGAAGGGAAGTGGCTGTCTCTCCCCTCCCCCACATCCTCCTTTGCTATACTGAGAAAGTCTGTAAACAAATGAAGAAAGTAACTCTCATCAGAAGGAGAGAGAAGTTCCTTCTGTTCGTGTGGGGAGAGCACTGCATGATGTGTTTCAGGTCCTGGGTGCCCCCTATTTCCGCATGTTGGCCTGGCACGTCCTCATGGGGAACCAGGTGATCTGGAAAAGCAGAGACGTGGACTTGGTCCAGTCAGCGTTCGAAGTACTTCGGGTAAGAACATCTTTTTTTCTTTTATGTGATGTGTAGCAGGGCCGTAYTGGCCTTGGGTGTGACTTCAGGTGTCACCATCACCATGAATGTTGCTCAGCATAAAGCCTTGGGAATCGAACATGCCTCAATCTAACACCAGTGCTTTCTGTTTACTGTTAAAGATGGCAGGTTTTGACATTCTTATTTCCAATGGAAGGAGTCTGGGCTGTCCTGACAGAGTGGTAGTTATCTCCTCTACCTCTCCCAACCCCTGTGACCCCTCTGAGAAGCAATGGGGGTTAGCACCGTGCTGCCACCGTGCCACCTCTGCRCAGGTGTTCACGAGCCGARCAGGTTGGGCGTGCACACAGGTGCATCCTTGGACAGTGTGCATGCCTACTGACCACCTGAGCTGTGGGTGCAGAAGTGAATATGACYCTGTCTCCAAAAGGAGTGGGGAGAGACACACACCCCAGAAGGTAGAGTGTCCTAGGCATTCACACCACAGAGCAAGGAGCTGCATAAGTCAGTGTGTGACGATGGCCAGGATAGGGGTTAGGAGCCTTTGGGAGATACCCTATGGCCTGAGGGCCTCGGGGACACCTGGGTAGTGAGCTTTGGCTGCAGAGGGCCTGTGGGTTTGGGTAGTGGAGACAGGAGGGCGAAGGGGACCCTGGGCTTGTGGGTTCTGAGTCACGCTGTCTCCGCAGACCATGCTGCCCGTGGGCTGTGTCCGCATCATCCCGTACAGCAGCCAGTACGAGGAAGCCTACCGGTGCAACTTCCTGGGGCTCAGCCCGCATGTCCAGATCCCTGCCCATGTGCTGGCTTCAGGTACAGGGGCCACCTGGGGGTGTGCCCTTCCCCCAGCTGCTCCCACACCTGRGACTAGGATACAACTGAATCTCAGTCATGTGTTTGAGGATGTCCCCTGCTTGCTTCAGAGGCAGGAGGACCCCTATGTAGGACCAGCTTTCCCAGTGAAACTTCTGTCTTCTGTCTCTAAAGTGATTGAAAGTGGGCCTGATGACCAGTGGTGGGAGCGCTCTCCTGGGTTATGGTTCTCATTGGAAGCAGGTCCCAGACCTGGGGTGGAGGGTTGGTGTCCACCCAGGACGGCAGAGCCAGGAATCCAGGGTAGTCATCCTGAAGAGTTGGTGCCCACGCGATCCTGGGGCCTTCGGGGGCTCAATCCTGCCTCTCTGTCACCGTGCTGCCATGCTTCCTTGTCCTCTCCARTGGTGTCCCCCTGCTGAAGTCCTCCGTGCCCTTCGTAGTGCACCTGGGCTCYCTGGTTTCCCCACCCTCATTGAGCCAGGAAACGGTTTGTCCTTGGCTGGGGGATGTGAGGAGTCAGCCTGGGGCAGGTCTTGGCCTTGTGGACAGTCAGGGACTTCTCAGCATGTGTGAGAGGCAGTTGCTGTGCTCCCAGGCTGAATGGAGGATGCCTGGCATTGGCTCCATAGCCCCAAGCCAACCCGAGTCCTGAGGTCCCAGGGGGCAGCACAGGAGTCACCTTCAGATATGAGCTTGGAATTCCCCACACCATTGACTGTGACCTTGGGCCTGTTCCTGAACCTCTGTTTCAGTTTCCCTCGCAGTGAGTGGAGTAATACTGAGCCACCTCCTAGGACTCCTCAGGATGAAGTGAATCAATGAGTGCAATTTATGATTATGTAATGTAAAAAAGATGATCGGTTTAAACAAGGCAAAAGTTGACCTTAACTCTGTTCACAAGAGGTTTTATTGGCCTGCGCTCTCCTCCTGGCCCTGCATTGGGGTGGAGCTGCTGTGGAGTGGCGGGAGGGGCGGGCCTGCCAGGGAGAGACTGCAGCGCTTCCCAGGAACTGTGTTTTGCCTTGCCACAGAGTTCGCGGTCATCGTGGAGGTGCACACAGCCACGCGCTCCATGCTCCACCCAGTAGGGTGTGAGGACGACCAGTCCCTCAGCAAGTACGAGTTCGTGGTGACCAGTGGGAGCCCCGTGGCTGCCGACCGAGGTGGGTGCTGCTGCTGGGCTGCTTCCRTGGGGGTGGCTGCGGCCTGCCTCTGGTGGCAGTGCTGACGCCCTCTGTGCCCGCCCGCAGTCGGCCCCACCATCCTGAACAAGATTGAAGCAGCTCTGACCAACCAGAACCTGTCTGTGGATGTGGTGGACCAGTGCCTCGTCTGCCTCAAGGAGGAATGGATGAAGTAAGCGCTGGCCGTGGCCGCCATCGCCCTCCAGGCTTCTGACATGGGGGGGCGGTGAACTCTGCTGAGGAAAAGTAGGTGCTGTTTCCCAAGGGAGGCCAGGCTGTGGCCGCTGGGGAGCCRTCCAGACTCAGCCCTGCCCCTCGAGCTCCGCGGCCTTGCAGTCGTGCCCCAGTGTCTCCTGTGAGGTGGGAGTGGGTTAAGGAGGGATGCCGAGCATGCAGAAGAGACTCGTAACTGAAGTTCTCTGCTGCTGCTACTTAATTCTTCAAATCGGACAGTCAGGGGTGTGTGTGTGTGTGTGTGTGTATGTGTGTGTGGTTGCAGTGTTGGGTTAGAAACTCGGGGCCTCCTACATGCTAGGCAGGTGCTCTGCCACTAAGCTACATATACCCTACCCAGCCTGTTCCCCTTGTTAAAAAAAAGAAAGAAAGTAAGTTACTGTGTTTCCTCTTGCCTTGACTTTTTTGGAGGTTACCAGAGATTGAACTCAGGGGCTGTATTGTATTTTGTTAAGAGACAGGGTCTTGCTCAGTCCTCTTGCCCCAGCCTCCCAAGCCCCTGGGATCACCGGCGAGGCTGGTSATTGCCACGCTGCTGAGGCTAGCCTCGAGATCCCGGCTCTGGCGGTCCTCCTGCCTTGGTCTCCCAAGTGGCTCAGGAGCGCACCACTGCCTGGCTTCCTCGCTGCTCCCTGGGTCTGGGACCCCAGGGTGCAGGTGCCTCTGCTGCCAGCTGGGCCGCAGGGCTCTTGTTGGTCCTGCAGCTGTTCAGGCCCCACGAACAGAGCGCCGATTCTTGAGCTGTGAGTCTGAGTGTCTGCTTTTGTTTTCTGCAGCAAAGTTAAGGTCCTCTTTAAATTCACCAAGGTGGACAGTCGCCCCAAGGAGGACACACAGAAGCTCCTGAGTGTCCTCGGTGCCTCCGAGGAAGACAACGTCAAGCTGCTGAAGTTCTGGATGACAGGCTTGAGCAAGACGTACAAGTCACACCTCATGTCCACGGTCCGCAGCCCCACGGCCTCCGAGTCCCGTAACTGACCTCCTGGGAGTGGGTCTCCACGTGCTCCTTCTGGAAGATGGTGGTGCCTGTGTGTGGACCCACCTCCAGCTCCGAGAGGAGGGCCTGYGCTGAGTGTCCAGATGCTGTGGTGGAGCCGCGTCCTGGCAGGGCGTGGGGACTGCAGGGCCCTGCCCTCTGTGTGGGCCCCTCCCACAGCCGCCGTCTCCCCTGAAGAAGGCCGTGGAGCCGTGTGGAGCACCGGCCTTCTGTACTGTGCGCCCACAAGGGACGCCGTCAGGAGGACTCGGGCCTCGTGCCTCTGGATGACGGAGGTCTCAGGCTGCARGAGGAACTTGGTGGGCCAGGCCAGCTCTGGCGATCAGCTGCCATCRGTGTCCTCCCTGGGCTCAGCAGCACACCTTTCCATCTTGACACGCGGCAGCCRTCCCTGGGAACAGTCAGTACTGGCGCCAGTCTGGGTCAGGTTTGAGCCAGGGCCCTGGACGCGCTTTAGGATGGAGGACGCCTTCYTCGTCTCTGATCCGCTGGGGTTTGTGTTCTGGGGTTGTCCCTGCTCCTCTACGGGCACATTCCCCTGCGGCCACCTGTGGGGATGACTGTCCAGACATGAGGYTCTGTGAAGTGTCTCATCGCAGTCGACTGGCCCAGCCCACTGGGACGGTGAGACCCGCCTCGGCTTTATTCTGTGCCACTTTCCCTTGTCACTGCTTTCAGCTAGTGAATGTGGCTGCAGGTGACAGTTTCCGGAGTCTGCRGCAGCTTCATGTCCCACCGTAGCACTTTCAGAGGTAGGTTGGAAGGACTTTACAGCAGTTTTCCTGATCTGTTTATAATGTTTTGTGTTCATTTAATTTATATTTAACTTGAAGACTTAAGTTTATTGGACTAGGTCTCTGCATGAGGCCACAACATTGAAACACAATAAATAATGTATTTTTATAAACTGTTGCCTACATGGTTTTATTGGTAAAATAACAGCTGATATTCACTTGTGCTCAGCACAGGCAGTAGTGTAGTGTGTCCCGGATGAGACCAGAGCTAGGACGCGGGTGGTTAGGCAGCTCTGTGCTGTGACTATAACTGTTCTCACGGAGACTCAGGTGGCTACAGCATCACGACGTGGGGTGATCCTAGGGGACCACCATTGTATCTGTTGACCAGCATTGACTGAAGTGTTGCTGCTTGACATGTGACCATGTCACGGCTCAGGTGACACCCACGAGTGGTCAGTGCTTGGGCCTGTGAAGGTCTAAGCTTCAGTGATCTTGGACAGTCTTCTCAGGTGAGTCTGGAGCTGATGAGGAGGAAGGTCCTGGAGTGTCTATGCCGTGTGCACCTAGCATTTTCTCCAACTTTGGGAGACGGCTCAGCCCCGAGAATGTTGGCAGGTGTCTCCATTTGAGAGGAGGCACGGGATGGAACAGACCTGCCTGACGGCGGCRCCCTGCACACTGAGGTCCACTTGGAGCACCTTGGAGTGGGAGGCCCATCTGGCCTGGGTGGCTCAAGGTGATGCAGGGAGAGGTGACTGCCAGCTCTTCTTGCATCTCTGGGTGTGAATTTCTCTCTTTTTACGGTGTCCTTGGGAACAGTAACCTTTGTTCAAACAACGTCTGTGCCAGTTTTCTGCCAGTCCCGTGGCTGAGTCCATCTGGCTCAGTAGGAACTGGACATAAATGAGCTCTACAACAGTCTCACAGGAGGGAAGGAGGGGTGTAAATTTCCAGTATGCTAAAACTTACTGCAGGAGTGGGCACAGAGGAGGCCCGTGCCACACGCCTGTAATCCCAGCAACCCAGGAGGCCCAGGCAGGGGTGTCGCAGGATCGAGCCAGGCTGGACAACACAGCAAGACCCTGCATCAAAATAAAAAATAAAAGGGGCTGAGGATGTAGCAGTGATAAGAGCACCCCTGGGTTCAAGCCCGAGTACAGAAAAAAAACCCCAATAGTCCAGACCTTGAGCCTTCCCTTGGGTTCCTGTTATTATGTATGAGATACCAACCCTCTATTCCCTAGTCACCTTGGAGGTCCCAAGAACAGGCGATCTGATTCACAGTCCTGGGTGATCACTGCTGCTGTCTGTCTGTCTGTATGGTTTGACCCCTCTGAAACCCATGTTGAAATTGGATTTCATTGTGGTGATGCTAGCAGGCGGGGTTTGCTGCAGTTTGGGTCATGAATGTCCCCCCAAGGTCCGTGTGTTCAAGTCTTGGTCCCRATGGTGTGATGTTGGGAGATGGTGAAACCTTTAAGAGGTGGGGTCTCGGGGAGGTCATTAGGTCATGGGTGGGGGGGGCATGTCCTTGAAGGGGATCATGGGGCCCAGCCTCCTCCTCGCTCCTTTTGCTCCCTGGGCGAGATGAGCAGTTTTGTTCCACCACACACGTGATGTGCTGCCTTGCCACAGTTCAAAACAGGGCGACCGATCATGAACTGGAACCTCCCACACTGTGAATCATAATAAACCTTTTCTACCTGTTGATTGTCTCAGGCATTTTATTATAGTAACAGAAAGCTGACCAACAGAAATGGATGAGGTCATTGGGTGGCTGACAGGGATGAATGCCTTTCTGGAAGCAGTGAGAGTTCTTAGGAAGCAAATCATTACAAAAGCAGGTTTGGCTTCCTCAGCCTCTTGCTTCTTCCTCCACATCTCCATCATGTCATGAGGCAGTATGGAAGCCTGGACTTCAGCCATGCTCCTGGACTTCCCAGCCTCTGGAATGGTGAGCTCCAAATAAGCAAATAAGTAAATAAAATAAAAACTCTTTTCCCATAAATCCATCTCAGTCTCAGTATTCTCCTATAGCTACATAAATGGTCTAAGAAAATCATTCAAGCATCTTTCCTGGATACATCCATTTGTGATTCTTCAGATTCTATGCCAAGGAGTGAGTCTCAATGACATATTAGTGACATCTAACATCTCTCTTTCTTTTGGTACCAGGGATTGAACCTAGGGGTGCTCTACCACTGGTCCGCATCCCCAGCCCTTGTTATTTTCAGATAGTTGCTTAGGGTCTCCCTAAGTTCAAACCTGGGACCCTTGAGCCCCCTCCTCCTGAGTCACAGGGATCACAGACGGTGCCACGGCATCTGGCCTCCCATCTCCTGAGTCCCTGCCCAACTCTGGCTCTTTATTTGGACCATAGACTTGAACACTGGGAGAGAGTGCTGTGTGCTCTCCACGTGGCTCCCCTGATGTCAGCACGGTGCAGAACCACGGTGCAGTCATCAAACCAGGAAGTCGGCTCAGTTTCCCCAGGCTCCTCCTAGGGTGCTTTTCCTGTTCCCTCGACCGCAGGGAGGGAACACCGAGTTGTCACATCTCCTTGTCCTCCTGGCACATCAGCGTTCACCTTCATCATTGTGAGCTGCTCTTTTTGCCTCTGGTGACATTCCTGGTCCTGGTCTGTCTACCTGATGCCACCCAGCCGGCTGGGCACTCGTGGTTGCTGTCTGCATGGTGTGGCATTGTCCCTCCTGCTACTGGTGTCTTTGACTCTAGGAGGACAGCATGTGTGGATCAGGCCCTGCCAGGATGAAAGATCCTGACAATCTCTCTATTTTGATTTAGAGCTCTCAGTGTGTCTGCATTTAATTAAAAAAAGGTTTTGTTTTTTTCTTAATTGGGGAAACATAAGATTTGATATCTTAACCATTTTAATGAACAATTTAGTGGCATTATATTGATAATGTGTCTCATGTCTTTCTGTTCCTTTCTCTGTCCACCTCTTTGTTGAGCAAATATTTTATAAGTGTGTGGTTTTAATTTATGATTTTTTTAACATTTATTCTTTAGGGTAGATGGACACAACAYAATGCCTTCATTTTTATGTGGTGCTGAGGATTGAACCCCGGTTCCACCCGTGCTAGGGGAGCGCTCTACTGCTGAGCCACAAGCCCAGCCCATTAATTTCTGAATTTTAAGCCATTTTTAAAAAGTATTTTTCAGTGGTTGCTCCGGAGGTCACAGCCTGTGTCTTCAGTTTACCACCATCTAGTTCAGCCTGATGCTGACTGCGGTGGTCCGGAGACGGTTGGAGTGCGGGATGGTCRGAGCTTGGTCCTCAGTGTGGCCAGGTCGGGAGGTGATGGGCCCTTTAAGAGGTGGGGCCTAGTGGGTGGTCACTACTGGCCCTTTCTGTCTCTGGTTTTCCCTGTGATCTCTCCTTCCGGCACCTGCTCCCACCATGATRCCATCCACTGTCAGCCAGGGGGCCTTACCAGAGCCAGCACCAGCACCATACTGTTGGCCCCCAAATCGTGAGCTAAATAGACTTCTTTTCACCTATCATCACAGTCACAGAGAACAGACTAGAACACTGACTTAATTCTGGAAAATACAGCAGTTTTGCTTCAATAGGTCCCCAGTTCCTCTTCCCTGCTTTCTGTGATTTATATATATATATGACATGTGTAATGTRTTTACATGCGTATATCATGTCTACATACGTTGACCCAACAACACAGTCGCATTGTTAAGCCAGTTCACCTGTTCTAAGGAAATGAGGAGAAGAGAAGATCACACACACATTGTAAGGTCTCGCATTTCCTCCTTGATAAACACTGATCAAACTCCGTCCTCAGCGGAAGGAGTTTGATTGGTGTTTCTTGTCTGCCACCAACAAATCCTTTTTGATCTGGGAGTATCTTATTTCCTCTTCATTTCTGAAGCCCAGTTTGCTGGATTTGGGAGTCTTGGTGGGTCTTGTTTTCCTTTCGGCACTTAGTGCCATTCCCCTGACACGGGCCTCTGTGTTTCTGGTAACTAGTCCAGTGTGCGCTGTGGCTGTCACTCGGACTCCTCGGGCATGAGCCGCTGTCTCCCGCACATTCAAGGCCTTCTGCCCTGGACCAGCATTTGAGCGGGTGGATCTAGGTGTCCTTCCCGTTGTGTTTATCCTACTTGGAGTTTGGTTCAATTTATAGGTTAATGTTTTTTTCTCAAATTGGGAAGTTTTCAACCATTATTTCTGCAAATACTTGGTCTGCCCTTCCTCTCCAGGGACGCCTCTTACGTGCATGATGGGTCCTTACACCCCTGGTCCTACAGATCCTGATCTGCTTTTCTGCAGACATTTTCTGTTCTTCAGGTTGATTGATTTCTATCGGTTAGTCAACAGGAATTGATCAAGGCTTGATGCCGGTGCTTAGCTGATGTCCACTGGTGGTGCCTAGACTGTCCTCGTGTTTTGGTGATGGTAAAAGWGCTGTGGTACATGTGAGGTGCAGGGGATGGTCGTGAGGGGTGATTTCATTTCCTTTTGGTACAGATGGTCCCTGACTCTTTGAAGCTGTGAGAGCTATCCGTACCTCCATTCCGTTCTCCACATCAGTAGAGGATTCAGTAACTCCATGAGCTACTCAGTGCTTCATGACAAAGCAGGCCTGTTGGAGTCTCTTGTCAAAGTGCAGCTGAAGAAACTGTTTTGGSGTGTTTAAGGTAGGTGAGGTTAATGCATTTCACCTTGGGCTATTTTCGACTTATTATGATCTTATCAGGATGTCACCCCASGATGAATCAAGGAGTGTTTGTGTACCCTGAAGAGGGGTTGCTGGGTTGACTTTAAAAACAATTTTCTTTTAGCTGGGTGTGGTGGTGCCTGTCATCCCAGTGACTTGGGAGACTGAGGCAGAAGGATCTCAAGATCAAGGCCAGCCTCAGCCACTTAGTGAGACCCTGTCTCAAAATAAAAAATAAGAAGGCCTGGGGATGTAGCTCAGTGGTAAAGCACCTCTGAGTTCAATTTCCAGTACCAGAAAAACAAAAAAATGATTTTTTTTTGTTTCACTATTGGGATTCTATATTTGTTGATTCATTGTTACTCTATTTTCCTTTAACTTGAACTTGCTTTGAAGTCTTTGTTAACTCCAATACGTGGGTCCAAAGTCAGTGTCCGTTTGCTCTTGTTTTCCCTGTGTATGGGTCACGTTTTCCTGTTTCTCTCCATGTCCACTAAGTCTTGGTTGAAAACTAGAAATTTTATATATGTAGCAGCAACCCTGAGTTCTGTGTGATTTTTCGGAGGTTGATTGACGGCTTACCTGGATTTATTTTTTTTAAAGAGAATTTTTAATATTTTTTAGTTTTTGGCGGACACAACATCTTTGTTGGTATGTGGTGCTGAGGATCGAAGCCGGGCCACACGCATGCCAGGCGAGCGCGCTACCGCTTCAGCCACATCCCCAGCCCGCTTACCTGGATTTCACCATCAGACTTTCTCCTCCTACCGTGTATGGCCCAGTGTGTGTCTCAGTTGTTTGGATGCTCGTCCCTGGGAATCCACCTGTGGCTTCCTCCCTTGATCACTAATCAGCCAGTGGTTCACAGCACTTGTATTCAAGTGCTCCCAGGCTGTGTTATTCCACCTGTTTGTGGTTTGGGGAACCCTTTTAAACCACCTTGGCTTTTCCTTTTCCCTGGGCTCTCTTGGGGCTCCCCCCCGACCTGCACAGATCCCCGTTAGCCAGGAGTGTACAGAGCGCCTCAGCCCATCTTGGGCCCTTTTCATTACTGTAAGTAAATACCTAAAGCTGGGTAACTTTATAGAGAGATTTATTTTGGCTCATGGGTTTGGAGGTGCAATGGAGAGGCTATATTTGGTGATGGCCTGGTTGCTGGCAAAGTCCCARGGTGGCTCAGGGCATCACCTATCAAGAAACAGGGAGAGTACACGTGTGTTCTGTGTTCTCTCTTCTGATAAAGCCATCAGGATTCAGCCACAGAAGCTTCTCCCTAATGACCTTAGCTAGTCCTAATTACTTAACAAAGGCCCCACCTCGACACGCCACAGCTGGATTAAGTTTCCTCTTAATACTGTCCAGTGGGATGAAATGTCGCCTTGTGAATTTGGGGGGACACACTCAGACTATATCCAAACCAAAGCCCAGCCATGCTCTCCAGTCCCCTCGTTCCCAGGGGCTCCCCCTGCACTTGTGGCGGCTGCTCACTCCAACTTGGGTGACTTCAGGTCACTGTGGTTTTTATATAAATGGATGTTTCTACTCAGCGTAATGGAAATATATCATGCTGAGCACCGGTCAGTACTTCATTCCTTTCTATTGATAAATAGTAATACACCATATATACCAAAGTTTATTTCCTTTTTTTTTTTATCAATACAGAAGATTGAACTTGGGGCACCCTAACCCAGGCTTATTTTTTTTTTTTTTTTATAACTTTGAGACAGGGTCTTGCTAAATTTTCCAGGCTGGGCTTGAACTTGTCATCCTTCTGCCTCAGCCTTCTTTTATTTTTTATTATTTTTTATCATTTTTTAGTTGTAGGTGGACACAAGACCTTTATTTTATTTATTTACTTTTATGGGGTGCTGAGGATGGAACCCCGCGTTCACACGCACTAGGCAGGTGCTCTACCACCGAGCCACAGCCCAGGCCCCTGCCTCAGCCTTCTGAGTCACTGGGACTCAAGGTGTGGGCCTCGACACCTGTCCACTTACCATGGTGGACATTCGGGTTGTTTCCAGGTTCAGGATTTTTACAGATAAACCTGCTGTGTAGTTTTGTGTCCGTGTTTGTGTGGACATATTCTTTCATTTCTCCCGGGTCACACCTAGAAGGGAAGGATAGCAGGATTATTTGGAAGGTGTATGTTTGGCATTTTATTATACTTAATTTGGAATAATTTTGGGTTCACAGAAAAGCCTCCAAGGTAGAGCAGAGCGTTCTCTCCGCGGCTCCCCCGGCTTCCCTTACCGCCATCTGGTGGGAGTGGTGTCTGCTGGGCCTCTCTGCTGTGCTCCACTCAGCGTTCAGCCCACTCCCACGGTGGGCGGGGAGGGTGGGCTGTAGCTCCTGGGGGCTGTGATCTGTACCGTTGGAGCCTTCTGCAGTGGAGACGCACCGTCTCCCTCTCATTCTTTACCGTCAATCACTTGTGTAGCAGACACACACCTTCACATCAGCAGGGGTTTCCGGCCAGCACCACCTGATTTTGCTCCTCACACTCCCTCTGGGTTCTTTTCCTTGGGCTGCTGGGTCCCGGGATGTGCTGTCATCCTTGGGTTTGAGCACTTCCTTTGGGACACTGCATCATGCTCAGGGGCACGGCTCCTGTTCCTGGCCCAGCCAGTCAATCTTCAGGAGCACTGGTTCCTCTTCTTAGGGCCTCGTGTTTAGAAACCAGGATTGTGGTCACAGGTGTTCTCGCTACTAATGATGTGACATTTGTTTCTGGAAATGGACAGAGGTAGACCTTAAGACGATAGGTGTGAATGTATATCTATATGAAACTGAACACGAGTCCTCCCCATTGAAATGTCCCTGCATTTCCTGTGGTCATGAGCCTCCCAGTTTCCAGGTTGCCGCTTTCCTTCCCGCCTCCAGGATCTATTTTTCACAGACGACATCATGGTGACCTTAGTTGGTCCCAAGAAGGAGTCTGCAGAGGAGTTGTCGTTTCCACTTCAAGACAAAGAGTTCTATTTAGCCAGGCTGATTCCTGACCAGGATTCAGCAACAAAGACAGCGGAGACCCTTGCCCCACTCTGGCCTTTCCCTCTCTGGTAAGCAGGCCGGCGTCTGCCCGGTGGGCCACCAGGGTGGCCTCTCCTTCCTGCTCTTAAAGTGGAACCTGTGCCTTTAGATAGAGCAGAACCTGTGGGCGTGGGAAGAACACGGGGTTCCAATGCTCCCGCTGAGCACCAATTCCCGGACATTCTATGTGTTTTCAGATCCTTCTCGAGTCCTACCCAGCTGCTCCCCAGCGACCACAGTGAAGGTGTGACCTGAGAGGCCCAGAGCCAGGGGAGCCAGGTGCAGCAGGCTTCGGGCAGGAGGAGGGTGTGCAGAGCACCGAGTGGCCGGGTGCACAGGTGCAGCCAGACCCTCGTTGGGGGAGGTCGGGGGTCCCCTAGGCATGGAGAGGAGCGCCTGGGGCTGGCTCAGCGAAGGTGGAGCCCAGCCCAGGGTCGGCGGGGGCCCCACATTCCAGCCAGGCTGCGCTCAGCCGTTGAGGGCGTGGCGAGGGCGTGGCCAGCGCGTGGCCGGCACGTGGCGAGGCGTGATCAGGCACGTGTCTGCTGCGCAGGCGCGGTGCCCTCCAGCCTGGGGCCTCAGCGGCGGGCGTCATGGAGCGGTTGCGCTGGCAGATGGTGGCGGTGGCGGCCGCAGGCTTCGCGCTGGCCCTGGAGGCGCTGCCCTGGCTGCTGCGCAGGCTACGGGCTGGGCGGCCACGGCGCGAAGTCCTCTTCTTCCCGTCCCAGGTGACCTGCACGGAGGCCCTGCTGCAGGCCCCGGGCGCCGCGCCCGCCCGGCCGCCCTCGGGCTGCCCGTGCAGCCTGCCCCACTGCGAGAGCTCGCTGAGCCGCCTGCTGCGCGCGCTGCTGGCCGCCCGTGCCAGCCTCGAGCTCTGCCTCTTCGCCTTCTCCAGCCCGCAGCTGGGGCGCGCCGTCCAGCTGCTGCACCAACGCGGGGTGCGAGTGCGAGTCATCACCGACTGCGACTACATGGCGCTCAACGGCTCGCAGATCGGCCTGCTGCGCAAGGCGGGTGAGCTGGAGCCGGGCCCGGGGCGGGCGCGCAGAGCAGGGAAGGCCCTGGAAGGCGGCGCTTGGTGGGAGGGACCTGAGGGGTAGGCAGAGACCTCACTGAGTCCCCCGGTAAGGACCCAAAAGTCAAGCCACCTGGCACGTGAGCCACGCCAGGATTCTTTGCAGAGCAGTCTGATGTCCCGTGTCTGAGTGTGTTCCCAGAGAGGAGGGGAGGAAGGACGGTGGGACTTCCTAAGGGGAGATGTCTTGTCCCAGGACACCACGTAAAAAGTGGAGCCTCCAGGATCCCGCTTTTTCCCAGGCCCTGGGGTATGCTGGGGATGGGAGGTGCCTGGGCACAGGTGGGAAGGGTTGCCCTGACCCGCAGTCTTGGTGACTGTTGTCGTCCTACAAGAGGTTGGCAGGACTCAGAATGAAGAGCAAAGCTCTGGCCACACCAGTAATCCCAGTGCCTGGGGAGGCTGAGGCAGGAGGATCTCAAGTTCAAGGCCAGGCTCAGCCACTTACACCTTTGTCCCAAAGTAAAAACTAAAAAGGGCTGAGGTGTGAATCAGTGGTAGAGGCCTCTGGGTTTCATCCCCAGCATGGCAAAACCCAACAAAGCCCAACTTTCTATGCTTAACCACCGGCAGCCTGCAGAGACCCTGAGCCACTCTGTGTGTGACGTCAGGGTTTGGCTTCTGCTCCCAGGGGAGCAGGCACCTGCCTGTGGCACTAAGGAATCCCACGCTGGGCTCCAGAAACGCATAAAACTTATCTACTGAAAATGGAGCCAAAAATGTTGATGAGCGGTTGTTTCTCAGCTGCAAAAGAGGAGAAGACASCTGTGGCTCTCTGGCCTGCTTCTTTGCCCAGCGTGAGGATGAAGGGAAAGATCCAGACCCCCGTCTGCCTGGGGACCATGAGTCTGTTCTTTGCCTACTCAGTGTGGCGGTCGGTGCTCTTGCTTCCTGTGCCAGTGCCCAGGGTGAGCCGTGGGTGTCTCCGGATCCCCAGGCACCTGGAGAGCCATGTCTGTGTGCGCGTCCATCTCAGTCATCTCGTGGCCACTGTGACTGACGTGGGATGTGTCAGGCTTGCCGTGGTCTCACTGCCCAGCTGTGGGCTGCCTGCTGACCTGGGAATCAGAGGACCCCTTCTGGGCGTCCGTCCGGGTTCCTTTGCTCCGGGTGGGAGGGTGTCAGACCCTCCACCCAGCACAGCCCATCCCCCAGGACCAGAGTGGAGGGTGAGCTAAATGTTRAGGACCTTCCCATCACCCTTAACTGGCAGTCACCAGAGTTGGCCTCCGTCTTGGGTCATTTCAGTGTGGGAAGTGTGGATTCCTTCAGGCAGAACTTAAATTAGCTGCCTTTTAGACAACTGCAGAATCTCAGGTTTGGAAAGAACCAGATTCTCCTTGAAAGACTGGGCTTCTGCTGATGCTCCCCAGCCACATGTGGGCTGATCTGGCTCTGGGTTGTCCATCAGCTGGCGTCCACTCAGCAGACGCAGTGTGGTCAGTGTCTGTAGGTTGGGTCCAGGTGCTGGGACACAGCTGGTGAGGTCCCCATGGAAGGCAACTAAAGCATGAGTATTTGATTTGAGGAACT